CAGTGACCTTCAAACTATGATTTACAGATATATACATTTTTATGTTTTGAGGAAATAAAAAAAAGCTAAAAATTAAAACAACTTTTGCTCTAAAACTGTGCGACATGTAGCTACAGCCCTTTAGTGGGCGTGGTTAAACTTTTTAGATAAATAAATCCCGAGTGTAGAAGACCTCTAAAAATGTGTTAAAATATTTGTAAACTTACATAAAACTAAGGTAATAGGCCATTCGTTTTTAGACTAGCTAATTAATTTGTTATTCGAAAATTAACACTTAAATATATTAAATTTTGGTAAGAGCTTATGTCAGATCACGCAAAAAATATGTCTATTATATAAGAACGGTGGCTGGCATATACATATAATTATTTGCTTACTGCCCATTTTATATCACTGGAGTGCACTTAATCAAAATCAATGACAGCAGTAAATGTATTAATTGGCATTCGAAAACTCAAAAAGATTCGAGTGGCATAAATGCCATAAAGCTAATGCAATAATATTTGTAATGTGCGTAATTAAGAGTACTTAGAAGCGTGATATCATAGGTTGACCAATATCCACATAACTCTAGCTATTTTGGGTGCACATGATTCAGACAGCCTTGACATTTGTAATTTCGCACGCTTTTCATAGAACTATCAAAGATAAGGTACTATAAAATATTGTGTTTATATAGAACATGGGGCTGTATGTTAGCTTGAAATTGATATTGATTGGTCTTGCCGAGTATATTTAATATGATTATCACTTTTGCTTTCCTTTGATTTATTTAATGATTGCACTTTTGGTACAATGACAAATGTATCACATGACCACAGCCGGCTGCCAGCTGTTATATAACTCATGTTTTTAATGTGTATTTACACACACACACACACACACACACACACAGAAACACAACTCTTATTACCAATATTATTGTTTTTCTTTTTTTACCTTGAGACCAGCAGATCACAAGAAAAACGGCTTGCAGTATTAACAAGTGCATGGCATGCGTTAACTGTTAGCAATTTATTGTAATGATTCCCTTGTCCACTGAGCTCCTGTTCCCGAGCACTTGTCAAATGCAACACCTTGCGCTTGGCTGGTTGATTCTAAACTGTGCGGAGGTTTGGCGTTTGAAGCACCTTCACAACTTCCCCAAGCGTCAACGAACTAATTGAAAATTCGAAAGCTTAAATCCCCGCGTATAGCGCGTGCTCCACACTCTGACACGAACCATAAAAAACAAGATACTCTAGTCGTGTATGCCCGACTTGCAGTTACCCTGTAGACAACTCCGAGCTGTTGTAACAAATGTTCGTAGATACTTGCTTAGATCTTACGAGTTTATCAGGTCTCAAAATAAAGAGTAAAAAAAATACTATAAAATGTATACGCAACAAGAACCTAATTAATAATAGCGTCTATAATGTACAAGATATGACTTAAAATCTATATTTATCGATATAAGAAAAATGAAAAAAGATAACGGAAAACAAAAATAAATTTAAATTGCTTAAGATTAACGAGAAAAATGCATAAGCATAAGTACTATGTGATAATATATATAAGAAAACATCCTAAACATCTGATCTGATTAAGTAGAACCGACATTCGACACAGCCGTGAGCTGATCAGAGACATAATTATTTAATATCAGAGACTAATATTTAAGAAATAAAATCTATTTAAAATTTGAACTTACAAAATGAGGTTGTACCTCAGGGAAATAAGTATATGTGCATCTTTATTTTTTTCTCTCATTTCAATAATATCACTTCCACTTTTTTTTTAAGTATACCAGATTTTGTTGTTGTGTGTTATATTTGTTTTTTGTATGCCAAAGTCTTCGTTACTGTTCATTTTAGGTACCGTTACCATTAAATTGTGTGCTGCGTCGTAATTTTCTTAGGAAATAAGTATATGTGCAAAAGTGAAAAAGACGACATCCAATCAATAAAAATGTCCTCTCTTAAGCCAAAATAGCTGCCGAGATCGGGCCGGATCAGTTAAATTTTGGTTCTGTGCTAGCTATAAAATGCCTTCTTCTGCCTGTTACATATATGTGCAAAAAAATATTAGAGACTTCGTTGCACATTCAACATGGGTATAGGGTATAGACACACACACACATGAGCTACAATCGTAGTCGCACGAAAAACACCGGACGACGGACGAGCACACGATCCATCGATCGTTTTGTCTGGGGTATTGAAGTATTGAGCTGTTGGAGCTTTTCTCTAATGCGTCCACTTAACGAAATTGAATTTGAAGTAGTCCAACTGCACCACGGTGCGTATGATTAACATTAATTAGAATAGTGCCGCAGCAAAGAAAATTTCAAATTGTGATTCGTCATAATTCCCACATATGTAGTTAATGCTCAGCGCAAACACAAGAGGAAACGGCTTTCAATCATTCGATAATATTTTGTTTTGCATACTAACATTTCATATACATACTTAAATGAGGAGCGCGACATCTAATACCGGGCAAATATTGACAATATCATGCAGTAAGCTACTAATTGATCGCGTGGCTATCGCTTCAAATGGAATTCGATGGGCCAGACAAATTCATTGAGCGATTTTCACACGCTTACTGCTCGGCTTTAAACATAAGTATGTGTATTTGTTACGTTTATACCATGTATAAATATTTTTTATCAGGAATAGAAAGACAAGCAGACGTCTATAAGTATAAATAAGTAATATTTGCTCAATTCATTAGTCTGTGTAAACGTTATCTTTAAATTGAAAACAGACACAATTTTAAATATATGTTTTAAGTGATACATATCCATAAAGTAAACCTGGCATAAAAATAATTAAATAAATAACAGCTATAGACTAAAAAAATAGTAAATGTTCATTAAAAAATACTATTCCGAAGCACCAATACATAATTAATTGTTATAAATTCAGACACGTTTTCACATGAAAGTCAACTGAACGTGTTTAGCATTTTGTAATATCAAAAATGACTCATCATAAATGTTACTTTAATTAGTTGAAATATGTGGTAATCGTGATTTTCAGGGCATAAACATGCACTGCTTGTTTTACTAAAATTTCGTTCACATTTCATTTACATGCGTATCGGAAACTCGTGACATACATGGAGAATACAAAACAAAACGACCTATTAATAGGAGTTGACTTGTCTAAAACGAATGCATTTGAATGTTCATCTACTTATGAGCTCGAATACAACTGAACATTGTATGATAATATCGCAAACAGTTGACATTTTAAATGAAATTCAGTTCCCAACTGCAATCTAGACCTTGGCGAAAAACAGTTCAAGTAATTAGTAGTTATCCTCACATACATATTTATGTACATAAATATATTTTTATATTTAGAGATAACCTACATTTTATTTTATTTGTGTCACACTCTTTTTTGATTGAGTTTCATAATTTATTGCAAATTTCGCAATTAGAATAACAGTTATCAATTATATACGAATTTACAATAAATTGATAAACAATATCTAGCTTGAATTTACGCCTGAAAGTATATAGCATGGATCGTGTGCTAATTGTTATTTAAATGCCTAGACACGATTTTTTTTTAATGATACCCTTAAACGTGTTAATCGGAGACATATGATGAACGCGCGCTCGAGTTAAGGGATGTTCAGTTCGGAATAAGGGGTATCTTCTAATAATAGCATAAAAGAAACGTATACTAAATATCTGGGAAATCGTTTCCATTCCAATATTATTACTAAATCATTATACTTGCAACTAATCTATTAAGAAGCAATCACTTCAGATGAAAAAAAAAAGTGTGTCAAAATGAAATTCCCGTATGATTAATAGATCTATAAATTGACTTTACAAAACAAAACACAAAAACTACCCATCCATTCTATGAGAACAAGTGAACTATTAGCACATTTTAAAGTTTTGTTTTTTCAGTAATATAAGTCGATTAGGTTGACTTTACAAAAACAAAACACAAAAACTACACATCGATTCTATGAGAGTGAACTATTAGCACATTTTAAAGGTTTTGTTTTTTGAGTGATATAAGTCGATTAGGTTGGTTCAACTACTATAAAGTCAGTATAGATCTAATAAATCCTCAGTGCTGTGGGCGCAGCGGCCACTCATTGTGTATGCAAGCCGTGCCACATCCGAAATGATGAGCACATTAAAGCACAATTATTCGAACATAAAAGAAAGTAATAAAATTGAATGGTACTGATCTAACAATACTTAAGCAATTCCTCTTGTCACTGGCATATATTTAAAAAGCTATAAAAAAATGAAAAAAAAAAACAAAAAATGAACAAAAATCGGCGCTGAATTTAGCGCATGTGAGCGCCAGGCCCATACAAAATACTCAGCCATAGACACGCGAATACTATAAAAAATCTTGACCAGATATAAATAAATTAATGGCACCTGAATAGCATCTTAAACAGCCAAAAGTTGCACTACACTTTTATCAATTAAAAACACCTAGAAATTGACATCCACGCCTGACATATATGTATATACAGAGTACATGTGCTACGTACATGTTCTTAGACACAATCCATAAAGCTGTCGTCATGGCAGGCGACGTGCCAGGCATGTCCAAAAATGTTGTGTGGACAAAAGTTAGGGTTTATTTTTAGAGAAACCTGTCAAATCGCCTAGCATCGTACATTATAATTACTGGGGCTTAACTTAAATATAATAACATTCTATTAATAAAGCTCATCAGTTATAATGGATTGGCATACATTGACAGTAACAATAAATGCCATTGCTGTCTCCTAAAAAATTTATCATTCACTGTAATTCATAAACCATAGCATACTTTTTATGTGTCCGGAGGTGCCGCCTAAAAGTTGACAATGGAATTCAAAATACCTTATGGCAATTCTCCAAAATAAAATTTTTTTATTTATTTATCTCAAATTAACAAATTCGAGTAATCGTTAAAAAAAATTAATTAAATAACGCAAATTAATATCAAACGCAGCAAATATTTCAAGGTAAATAAATATTAAGTCTGTAATTAATAATTTAATAATGTATTGTGGACTTTGGCATATTACTGGCGTACTTTGGTAAATAATATAATAAATATAAAGCTAAGCTCACAGATGTGTGCGATCTGGCAAAATATTTAACTATATTCTATGATAAATGATGAAAAGCACATAGTTTTATGCTTGATTTTAAATAATTGTCAAATTATTGGTTATGTTAACAAGTTTTTCTCTCTTTGTGAAGTGAATCAACATTTTTACCAGATAAGTGGCACATGTGGCACATACGCGTAACAATTCGCGTAATCCACAAATGCGTCAAAACATAATAAGTAAAAACCTAATATTCGATGTCTTTGCACCTTTTTTTCTTTTTGTGATGTATTGTGTGTGATTTATAGTATATATGTGATGTTGATAAGGCTAAATTCAGTTACATCCGGGGTTCGGTTAATCCTGTTTCTCCTCCTTGGCGGACATGAAAAGTTTTTGGCACGTGAATGTCATCGAATCTAAACAAAGTACACAGGTTAGTAGATATTTAGCTGATCATATGCGATTATGTAAATATGAAGGTTTTAATGTCCAAACGTAGCAATTGTCAAGGTTAGAACGTCGCTTGTATACGCACCAATCGCGTCATGCACCCATTTGGGTTTGTTCTTCCACACGACGCCAACGTAATAGAATGGAATGCCAATTAGCGTTATTATCAAGCCCATGAAGACCTCAAATGGCGCGACGTATACCGGAACGACCACCAGAAAGGCGCACACAATGACAAACACGGCGGGTATCCACAAAGAGACCTGTCAAAGAAAAATATATTAAATGTGTACAACTATTCGAAAAGCGGGCATAACTTACTTTAATTGGACGCTCCATATTGGGGCGTGTGTGGCGAAAGTACAAAACAGCCGACACCGAGAGCATTATAAAGAACGACTCCACAATGCTGCTATATGTGATGAGCACATACACATCACTCACAAGCAGCATCACAATCGAGAGCAGGCACTGCAAAGCAAACAAGTTTAATTAAGCAACTTCTTTTGTACAACAATTATCCAAACGGAACCTCACCAGAAAAGCCAGCGATGGCAGCGGCGTATAGCTCTTAACACTAATGTGCGATAGCACTGCGGGCATGTGTCCATTACGTGCGCCCACAAAGCACATGCGCGACGAGGTCATAATATGCACAGAGAGACCGCCAAATGCTGAGATGGCCACCATAATGGGTATAATCAGCGAGAAGTTGCCCATTATCTTGTTGCCAAAAGTCTACAAACAAAAAAAATGGGAAATCAATAAAATCTCATGGAAATTGTTAATAATGTTCTACATACCACTGCTATGGCGTTGGAGGCGATCATTTCAGGGGCAGACAATACGGCCAGATAGGCCATGTTGGCCAGCACATAAATGCCCGTGACCAGGGGCAGTGATATATAAATGGCACGCGGTAAATTGCGATATGGATCACGCAGCTCTTCCGTCATAAAATTCAAATAATTCCAGCCGGCATATGAGAAAATGCCCGAGTAAAATGCCACCGACAGCTTGCCGGGATCGGTTTCAGTATTCTCAAAGGGTTGATTGAAATTCTCAACATTGCCCATCAGCATCCAAACCACACCGACGACAATGATCAGTACCAATGCCGCAATTTTTGTGAACATAATAATATTTTGCATTTTCGTTGTGATTTTCATGTAATAGCAATTCAAATAGGTCAAAAAGCAAATGGTAACGGCTGCCAGCAACTGAAGGGCGATTTTTGGTATCTCACAGCCATCAGCGAAAAAAGGCTGCAACACGTACGAGGCGAATGTCAAACCCATTATAGCATTTGTCGTGGGCCTGTGGTGAGGACAAAAATATTTTGATAATGATATCAATTCAACAAGAAACTGTAAGAAACAGACATACATAAGTCTTGAATTTCAGAAGTATTTATGAATGCAAGTGTTTGGAAATGTTTTCAATTCTATACCCTTGCAGAGGGTATTATATCGTTCCCACGAAACGGGTAGCACACGCAGAGAATGAGAAATAAAAAACAATCTAGTATCAAAAGTCGAGTTCATATAGCCATGTTCGACTGCCTATCTGATTTAATGCCAACTAGTCTTTTCTCTCAGCCAGAAAGCTATCTTGTTGAACCCTTATCTATCCTACCTATCGTAGATACAATAGGAGTAATCAGTTGAAAACACAAGTTTGTTTGTTAAAAACTATTTTGTTTCCTGAAATATTTTACCGAAACTCGAAATTTACAAGATTGACTACGCTTAGTATTAATTTACATTATCATATAGCCATTATCAAAAATCGAACTCAACAACAACAATCTAACCTATCATATACAAGTAATATCGTATAATAATCGGGACTACTATATTATATATCAAGCTATTAAGAAACCATTTATAATCACCTCGCATATCTGATATAAGTCTACAAGGGTATTTAACCTTCGACAAGCAAAAGAAATCGGTTCTCTCTGGTTATTTCGCTAATACTTATCGAAAACAAGCGAATAAAAATAGCATTGTGATAACAATAATAAAGTCGTTAAAGCAATCTTGGAGCAATTGACTGCCTACATACACATCGACATACTGAGTGTTACCTGATAAGAGCATTTATTGATTAATGAAAGTGAATGAAAACTGCCAGCTTTGAGCTTATCCACGGGCTCATTGTAAGCATACAAATCTGAGAGACGTCAATCTGTAAGTTTCAATTGATGCCTTAATTGAAACTGAAGACGCAAAAAGCTCACGAGTTGCTGCAACTCAATTGTTTGAGTCGTTCGTCTGACCCAATGTAATAACATGAGTGCTCTAATTGGGAGTGCCCGACTTATATTTCGGCTGTGCTTCTTGTGCTTCTTGGCTATGTATATACGTATATGAAATGCATTCTTAAATGAATTCGGTGTTTAAAGTCCCACCCTTAAGCAATTTTCAGGTCTTATATATTGAACTGTGATTATATACCAAAGGAAAAGGAAATGAAACCTTTGAAAAAGTGAAATATTCTTAATATGTATGTAATATACTAACAGCAGCATACCAAGCTGTGTATCTCTTATCTCTTATCTTTGAGCTATGCTTGAATAACACGTCTCAAAATCAATCAAAAAAGTGTTAACCTCGTTCTGGGTACAGTTTAACTCTGCGTTCACCTTTTTACCGATTTATGATAAGTGTAGATATTAAATGAGGTTAAGCTTAGGCAATACAATCAAAATACTTACACAAATATCATCATTGCATCCCACAGATATAGAAATGCTGGCAGCGAGCCGTACGCCTCAAAGATGTACGCATAATCTCCACCAGACTTTGGTATGGCTGTGCCCAATTCCGCATAACACAATGCGCCGATCATGGAGAGCAGACCGCATAGCACCCAGATAATCAGCGATGTGCCTACGGCCTCCACTTCGCGTATGACACCTTTGGGCGAGACAAATATTCCCGATCCAAAGATAATGCCCAGTATAATGGCCACGCCCTCAAGTAAGCCCAACTGTTTTTTCATCGCAACCCGACTGTTGTCCGATTCCGCAGATCCCTCTCGCGTGGCATCCTTATCCTTGGTCACAGCTGCCGCAATGCTGGGTGGATTCTCAGTGTTCGGTGTAAGCAACACCATCTCGCTTGACGGTGACTGCAAATCTTTGGACGCCATTGTGTTGAGCAGCGCTTATGCCGGCCACGCACGCTACGCTCCAAGTACAAAACCAGACTGACCAAAAATAAACTGACTTGTGATTGTGTGGTGTGTCCAGCTAATTAATTAAGCTAACTTGAGGAGTGTCGCCTCGTTGTTCCGTTTGATTAGTATGATTAGGTGTCAGTGTGCGTGCGTGCGTGTGTGTATGTGTGTGTGTGTGCCTATGGGTGTGGATGTACGGTACGGTGTGTACGGTGTGACATTTGCTAGTTTATATTGAATTTATGTCTTCATACCCGTATTCGCTAATCCGCCGGTTAGCAATTTTCTTTTGTAATTTCATTCATTGTTTTGCTAACCCACTTCGTACATCTGTCGTTAGCTCTTTCTAACCAATGCCGCGTCGCTCACGCCGTGTTGTAATCCCGCCGCTGTTTCACGCACATGTATTGAATTTTTGCAAAAAGATATAATTTTGCTTAATAAATTTGAACTCGACGATATATAGGTAACTGTTTGCTGGTTGATTTATTTTAAATGCTAAATTATATGTTTATATTGCCAGCACGGAAAGTTTTAATTAAATAAATAACTTATAAGTAATTTGCACGCGTTGCGGAGCACGAAAAAAAGAAAAGGAGATTGATATCATTCGATACATAGATATATCGAAATTTATTCTTGGCTATCGTTTTGTGATAGCAATATTATCGGGCTAGTTATTAATCGAAAACTAAACTAACGACTTTTTGGATAAATTATTTTGGAAGTAAAAATAAACAGCTTCTGTTCACCGTCTCCTCCATTGTTACAGCTGCGGCTCCTCCATAGTTTAAGACGCGTCCTCCTTCACAGTTGAGGCCGCGCTTCCCCCTTTGCTGCCTCCTGCTTAGTAAAAGCCGCCAGCTCCTACAATATTTAAGCCGACGTCTCCTCCATTGCATATTCCATAGTTGAAGACGTTTCCTCCAATATAAGCCGCCGCCTTCTTTACTTGAAGTAAATCAAGTGAGACTTACTTGAATTCATGAGAATCGAGTTGAATGAAATTAGTTAAGACTACATTTATTTTTAATTTGTAGCCCAGCTAGTGGTAAACTTAGTCTTGGATATAAACATAATTATACATTCATGTACATATATTAATGCATGCATAATATATGCATGCATAAATTCTTATATATACAAACATACATATACATAAATGCAAACATATAAAAATATATACATTTAGCCGGTACCCACCAATCGAATGGTAAACAAAAAATTGAATACAACTGTTTTTTTTGTGATTTTTTCACACTTGCGGATGGAATTAATCAAAACTCCGTCTTAGCGTGCATAATTCTTACCTCCCATAAGGTAACTACAGTGAACATTTCCTAGTGTTTACGATTTGGTCTGTGCGTTGATCACCAATCCGTCAGTCAGGACAAACAGTTTTGTATATAGAGATTTGTGAATTGTTTTTATTTTTTACAAATAGTTTTTGTACAATTTAAAAATTACTTTAATTGCTTTACAAATGACTATTTCCTATTTCTTATCCTTAGCTTGCAGTTTGGAGTGAATCATGTCCTTAAATTGCGTTAATATTTTATTCTCCCGCTTCTGTCGCTCCTCCTTGCTGAACATGGCCAGAGCGCGCTTCTCATCCGCCGAATAAAGTTGATTTTCCTTACGTATACGGACAGCTTCCATGCGCCGATGACGGCTACCGCTCATCACATAGCCGACCGATTCAAAGTTGGCAATCTCGTCCGATGTGAGACCGATTTCACCACGTCTTGGTATACGTTTGCCCTCCGCGATGTAGGCAGCCATGGCGGCACCTTCACCCGGCAGCAGAGCGCGTCCAAAGTCTTTTTGATTCAGGCTGCCGCCGCTGCGAAGGGATGGACCCACATCCTCTTCGTTTTTGTTAGCACTCGCCTTCGATTTGGACCTGGCTGCACTGGATGAGGATTTTTTGTCGGACTCCGATTTCCGTTTTTTCTTTTTCTTTCTGTTCTTTTTGCTTGTGCTTTTCTTGACTTTCTTTTTTGGTGGCATTTTAATACCATCCGCTGTCTTTTCCAGCCAAAGTTCCTGCTCATCCTCGCTCTCGGAACTGTCGTCGCTCAAGGAGCTCGACTCGCTGCTAGAGCTTGATGAGGACGAGCTTGAAGATGTGTCGGATGAGCTACTGGAAACTTTTTTGCTCTTTTTCTTCTTTTTAATTTTTTTTGCTTTCTTTTTGGACTTGGCTTTCTTCATTTTACTGCTCTTCTTTAGCTTATTCTTTTTTTTAGGCCCCACAAAGGAGCCTTTGACTAGCTCCACATCATGGTGCGTCCGTGTTGGACTGGTGCCCCACACTTCTGGAACGCCTTCTTCGCCAATGCGCACACGCTGCGCTCGTCGCGCATTTAAGGCCTTTGAATCCTTAGGATGACCGCCGCCCCGGTGTGGGTGATGGCTACGACTTGGCCGTTCTGCTGGATCGTTTATAAAGCTGCCTTCCGGCGCACGTCCTCTAAAGGGATTATTTTGCCTATCGTTATTTTCGTGATAACGATCGTTGGGCCAGCGCTCCACAGATTTTTGTGTCTGTTTGACCGGACTCCGACTGCGACGACGATTGCGACTCCGACTGCGTGAGGTGGAGCTACTTGTGCCGCTGCTACTGCCGTCGCTGCTTGTTCCACTGCTGCTGCTGTCCGTGCTAGATGACCGGGAAAGCGAACGCCGTCGTCGTGGTGACTCTTGTTTATTTGAATTGCGCCCCTCTCGACGCACAGGTGAGTTTTTATAGCCATTTTTTCGCGGCCGTTCCCTTTCCTGCTCTCTGTGTCTAGACTCAGCCACCGGCTTGTGTGTTTCCCGCCTGTCCGGTCGCTCGTGGGATCTGCCACTGTCACGTATCTCACGTGGTCGATCTCTGCGTGGGCTGCGTGAACGGCTTCTGCTGCGCGAACGCATTTTATATAGAAATATTTAATATTTGTTTTGTATGCGCACAAAAATATTTTTCTGCAAAACGTTTGACTCTATCTGTTAATATCGTAGTTATGAATCGACATTTGCAAACAGAATGTGCGATATTTCGATAACATAACTCTATACGATACCAAGAGCATCGATATCTCATTGTTTGCACTTTATTCCTAATGTTGGGACTAGAATGAAACTGTTCATGTAAGAGCTTTCGAATAAGCTTACAACTTACATACATTTTTTTTAATTTCTTACACTATTTAAGCAAGGAAATTGAACAATATATCGATGTACGAAAATTACTATTGCAATACATCGATGATGCAGAACATATGAGCAACACGGCTGTTAGGTGACTCTTAAAGTGGGGAACTACGTTTACAGCTGAATGGTAAACATCAAACTTCTTCTTGCTGTGTAGTGTGACGTGTACGCGTAGCGAAAAATCACATATTTTTCTTTAAAAAATTTTACAATTTCATTTGTTTCACACGTTACTGAAGTAAGCAACACATAAAATGGGCTCATTTCGCCGCGAGAAGGATGAAGAGGAGGACGGTAAGTAATTGGGTAACAACAATATAATACTAACAGTGCCGCCGGAGCGGCAACAAAACAACTGCCAACACTGCTGACCGCAGAAGGTGCTCTGCTGGCAGCCAAAAAGAGCATAAAACAGGAGTACAACAAAATTAACACACACACACACACATACAGTCTCAGAAATATCCCGAACATCACACATAGAAACTGCTTTAAAGTTCTAACGTTATATATTGCCTACGGCCGGTTCAACAAAAAAAAATCAAAACATGAAATATTTTATTTCGAACTCGCTAAACAAACGCATAGGTCCGACGAACGCGTACCAGAATCTGGAGAAGACCTCGGTGCTGCAGGAGACTCGCATTTTCAATGAGACGCCAGTGAATGCACGCAAATGCATACACATACTGACCAAGATCCTCTACCTGATGAATCAGGGCGAGCAGCTGGTGCCGCGCGAGGCAACCGATTGTTTCTTTGCCATGACCAAGCTGTTCCAGTCCAAGGATGTTGTGCTGCGCCGCATGGTCTATCTGGGCATTAAGGAGCTAAGCTCCGTAGCCGAAGATGTCATCATTGTCACCAGTTCGCTGACCAAGGACATGACAGGCAAAGAAGATCTGTATCGCGCCGCTGCCATACGTGCCCTCTGCAGCATTACAGATCACACCATGCTTCAGGCCGTCGAGCGTTACATGAAGCAATGCATTGTGGATAAAAATGCGGCCGTTTCTTGTGCCGCTTTGGTAAGCTCGTTGCGTCTATCCAACACCGCCGGCGATGTTGTCAAACGCTGGGCGAATGAGGCTCAGGAGGCCTTGAATAGCGATAATATAATGGTGCAGTATCATGCTCTTGGCCTGCTCTATCATATACGCAAATCGGATCGCCTAGCTGTCTCCAAGTTGGTCAACAAATTAACGCGCGGCTCGCTCAAGAGTCCCTACGCAGTGTGTATGCTGGTAAGCTGGATGGGATTGCTTTTAAATTGCAACTACTAAAACTTATAATATCGCTCCCAAACAGATACGTATCGCCTGCAAACTGATCGAGGAAGAGGACATACCCGCCGAGGAGCTCGCAGATTCGCCCCTGTATACATTTATTGAATCATGTCTGCGGCACAAGAGCGAAATGGTCATCTATGAGGCCGCCCATGCCATTGTCAATCTGAAGAACACAAATCCACGCATGCTTTCGCCGGCCTTCTCCATATTGCAGCTGTTTTGTAGTTCGGTTAAGGCAACGCTGCGCTTTGCTGCTGTGCGCACCCTGAACAAGGTGGCCATGACACATCCAGCTGCTGTAACCACATGCAATTTGGATTTGGAGAGTCTGATTACCGATTCGAATCGTTCAGTGGCCACGCTGGCCATAACAACACTCTTAAAAACCGGCGCCGAATCCTCTGTGGAGCGTTTAATGAAGCAGATCTCCACGTTTGTTGCTGAGATCTCCGATGAGTTTAAGGTGGTGGTGGTGCATGCTATATGCGCACTCTGCGCCAAATATCCGCGTAAGCATACAGTTCTGATGAACTTCCTGAGTGGCATGCTGCGCGAGGAGGGCGGTCTGGAGTACAAGACATCAATTGTGGACACCATTATAACGATCATTGAGGAGAATGCCGATGCCAAGGAGTCGGGTCTGTCGCATCTGTGCGAGTTCATTGAAGATTGCGAGCATGTCTCGCTGGCCGTGCGCATTTTGCATTTGCTTGGCAAGGAAGGTCCATTTGCGGCCACGCCCTCCAAGTACATACGCTTCATATATAATCGCGTCATTCTTGAGAGCCCCATTGTGCGCGCTGCTGCGGTGACTGCTTTGGCCCAATTCGGCGCCTCGTGTCCCGCTCTGCTGGCCAACATATTGGTTCTACTGGGACGCTGCCAAATGGATCCGGATGATGAGGTGCGCGATCGTGCCACCTACTATCTAAGCATACTTAACTCGGCCAAGCCGGAGCTCTACAAGAACTACATCATTGAGCGCGAGAATTGCTCACTAGCGCTGCTCGAGAAGGCGTTGACGGATCATTTGAATGGCGATCTGCAAAATCACTTTGACATTTCCATTGTGCCCAAGGCCGCTATTGTTAAGCCAGAGATCACCAACGATGTGATGATGGTCACCAGTGCACCGCGTGCACCAAAAATTACGCGAGAAGAGGAGAGCGCCGCACGTTTGGCTCAGCTGCCGGGCATACAAGTTCTGGGTCCCATTCATCGCAGCACAGCGCCCATACAGCTAACCGAGAGCGAAACAGAGTATACAGTTCAGTGTATCAAGCATATCTTTGCCCAGCATGTTGTATTCCAATTTGATTGCCTTAACACGCTCTCTGAACAATTCCTGGAGAATGTGCGCGTCGAGCTGACGCTACCCGAGGGCTATACGGCACGTGCCGTCTTATCCTGTCCCAAATTGGCCTACAACGAGTTACAGACAACATACGTAATTGTCGAATTTCCGCCGGATGCTAGCAGTTCCATAGGTAAAGTTATGGCTAAACTTTAATTTCTCAAATACTCAAATTTTGGTGTTTTTTTGCAGCTACATTTGGCGCCACTTTGCGTTTTGTGGTCAAGGATTGCGATCCTAATACTGGCGAGCCTGACTCGGATGAGGGCTACGATGATGAGTATATGCTGGAGGACTTAGACATCACAGTCGCCGACCAAATACAGAAAACGAAAAAGAACAACTTCCAGGTGGCCTGGGATGCCGCCGATAGTGAGGGTCAGTTTAATATATATATAGAGACTGTTTTATAATCTTGTCATGAAATGTGTAACGGATGACAGGAGATAGCTTTGACACCATATACATTACTGACCTCTACCACTACCTTTACTACCTCTTTTTAATATTGGGCAAAGATCCGTGGGTATAATACAGTACATCAGACGAAGTCTAACTGGTCAGAGCACTATTGCATAAAGCTAACATAGAAACAATCGATCAAAAATTTTTGTTGTAGGTAGAACATTTTTGTTTTCTAAATATCTCGATTATTTTACAAATTTATAAAAGTACACAAAATTAGCATGTAGGCTCTCATACAGCATACACAGATCGAGAATGTTTCATTTATTGGTTAGATCGGACTATAAACATCAGAGTTAATCACGACCGTCGCTTGGCCTAAGCATTCTTACTTTTAATCTATTATTCCTATTTTACAATTCTTGCATTTCTTACAGAGTGGCTACAAGCCGAAGACACCTTTGTACTATCGGCCGTTAGCAATCTACAGGATGCCGTCAATACTATTCTTAAAATACTGGGCCTAGGCGCTGCAAATCTATCCGAAAAAGTGCCCGAGGGCACGCATCTGCATACCGTACACTGCTCGGGTATGATAAAAACAACTATTAAGCCTGCATTTGATACTAATTCTAATTCTTTTGCAGGCACCTTCCGCGGCGGCGTTGAGGTGCTGGTGCGTGCCAAGTTGGCGCTCTCCGAGGGTGTCACGCTGAATCTAACCGTGCGTAGCACAGATCAGGATGTGGCCGAACTCATAACGGCAGCCATCGGATAAACTTACGCGCCATGCAGAGACTTAATAGGATCTCTGCGTGCTCTGCAAATACTATGATTATGAAAAGTATATTAATTAAAGCAAAAAGTTAAATGTAATCAAAAAATATATAATGTAGCTTTAAGCGGCGCCCTCAAAACAATTTCAATTTTTGCCCACTTTTTTGTGAGTTATTTTAAAGCCTCCAATTAAATCATAATTTTTGGGTATTGTGTGAGTTTCTAAGAGGATTTTTGTTGTTTTAATAGAAACTCATCCAAGCAATTTATATTATTATTTTTTTATTAAAGATTTAACCTGTGCGTGTTAAGTATAAGTATTCCAAAACTGAAATACAATCACAATATATACAATAATAACTAAGGAATGAAGTGTTCAAATAAGACGAACTAGACTTTGTTTTCGTAGCTGCAGAAACTACGCAACTTCTGGGTTAAGTGAGAGATGCATTCAAAATGTATATCCCATATGGATGACATTCCACAGGATGTATGTTGAACTGAAGATTTTCAACATGATTTTAGATAGTCTTTTTATTACATCGTGATCTGATATTGTATTTAGAATAATGAAACTTGTAATTGCGGAATTTTGTTAAAATATCTTGAAAAACAAAAAGGCTAATCGTACCTGACAACTATTTGATCCAACTTATGTACTTACATCAACAAAAGAACGGATCTATTCGAGGAATTATTAGATATATAATTGGACTAGTTTACATAGACACTGACACATGGATATATAGTGATCAAGTATATATATATGTGCCCTTTGTGGTTGAACATTTTCTCTTCTATACGCCAACCATTTTGGTAAACAAGTTAATATTGTAACTCAATTATTCATTCAACAAAGAGAATATAGGTTTGAACAGCAGAGGTTGGTATATAAACGTTGTCAAGTCCTAGGCAATAGAATAAATGATTGTAATTGGTTATTAATTGGTAACTGAAGACACATGTATTCATAAAAAAAATTACATACCCACTTATTTGCATTTGAGTGAAGTCACGATATAGTTTTTTGATTGTATCGTACTCGGCCACAGTTTAACTTTTTAAGTTGTGAGTAAACACGATCAAAAGTTTTCAACTTATTTTGTATGTATTTTTTTTTTTATTTAATTATAAATAACTTAAGTTGCAATTTATACAATTTTCTCATTTTGAATTCACGCGTTAACTTTTAATGCTTAAATTAGTTCTGTTTCGCTGCATTTATTTAATAATTTCTTGTGCTTTCTTTTGTTCGCAATCGATTTCACTCGCATTCCGTGTTCCGTTTATTGCTTCTCGATCTTTAATAATTTGTAAATACCCAAACTTCTTATCAGTTCAATCGATACGTCAATACTCTTTCGCTTAGCATACATATTAAGTATTTATCTTCTTTTTTGTTTTTTTTTTCGTTTGTTTTTGTTTAAAAAGTTTATGCAAAATTGACGCAAGAGTAAAAAACACCACACGAAAGACTTTTTGTTGAAAACAATTTCACACACACGGCTAAATTTTGTTTACGTTACAATTTGTATGCTCATTGTCAGATCGATATTTAGTTTTAAAGATATCTTATGTGTGTATATTATATATATATATATGTATAGTATATGCATGCACTTCACACACACTTATAACTCTAATAATTCGAAAACAAATTGTAAAATTAACGTTTTGTGTTCGCTTCTAAACTGCTTTTCCTTATCTTTTCGCTTAAGAATTTAACGTTATATCTCTTCATTCTTGAATATCCCATTGTTTTTTTTTATTCATAATTTTGCCTTTTTTTTTAATACACACTAGAGTAGATTGATATTTGCTTTCGTTATCGAAGTTTCGCCTTTTTCAGTGTGTATTTCAGATTTTTGTTGTTTTTGTTTTCTGCCATTTCCGTTACTTTCTGCTTATCATGCTTTCTAGGCTGACAACAACGAATCGTCTCACACGCGATACAGATATAGATTTATATATATGTATACTATGCTATACTATATTACAATTAGCATACATATTTCGTGTTTTCAGTGTTGCTTAAGGTTTGATTTTGCTTTTGTTAAGGATGCGCGCAATTGAGCCTGGCCGAAGCGAAAAATCACAACACAGCTTCGGCCACATATATATATATATATATAGTATATACATATGTATATATATATATATATATATATTGTGAGTTTTTGCATTTAATTTGATGGTTTCGTTGGGGACCTTTGACTATTGTGAGCGCATGTGGTATGTTGTATGTGGGTTACCTTAAACTGCTTAAACCCTACAATTAAAATAGTTAATGCTTGGATATATTTATACAGAGTGAATGAGTGCTAGCTGGTGGTGATTGTTGTTGTTATCATCGTTGTTGTTGTTGTTGGTGTATTGTAGGTTGTTGGTGGTTCTTCAGCACTTGAACTTGACCATGGGTATATGCTTGGAAGACACACACTTGTCACAGCACCACTCAGCAAACACCTCCTTGTTGAGCATTTGAAAGGCCGCCTCCGTCAGTCCCACGCAGGTTCTAGAACATAGAAAATAATTTAAATAAAGGATTGATCCATTAAAAAAAAAAGGAATTTCTTGTTTCGACTGACCACAGCCTAAAGGGTAAGAGCTAGAAAATTGAATTTTTGACAGTGCAAAGTTTTAAATATACAAAAATAAATGGCTGTATGTATTTACGAGTCTTTGTGATAATTTACTGTAGACATATTACGCTTTATAAAACTTCCCACATCTCTGGGTGGGAAATAAGGGGAATAAGTATGGGCATAAGACTAACTTCCCCCTGATCGGCTTAAAACTTATTTTCGTAGGCCACTTTTTCAAAATTAATTCAAATCCGCACCACAGGACAGAAAATTGGGGAACTAAAAGGTTTCTGCCAAAGTAACTTTTTATCCAATCGACGTTAAACTGATTTGAAAGAGTTACTTTTTTTTTTTTGATAAACAACCTCAAAGGCCGGAAAATGGACAGAAAACGGATTTTTAATTTAATGTGAAATACTTTGCCCGTGCAAGGCCGGACAATACTTGATAGTATTCGATATAAGACGTTGCTTACCTGTGAAAAAAGAAATTACAACCGGATTCACAGAAGACCGCCTCATCGTTGTCGTTGACCTCCTTATGGCACATGCCACATGGGTAAATGGGCGGCGCATTTGGATTCTGCGGGTTGAAGACCATTGGTTGACCCGGTGGATACATTTTGCCACCGCTCATTGTCATGGGCTTGCCCATGGGGCCGCCCATGTTGCCCATGGGTCCACCCATGGGGCCGGGACCCATATTGCCCATAGGACCCGGACCCATGGGGCCACCACCGCCGCCACCGCCAAACATGTTCGGCCCGCCCATCGGACTGTGTCCGTGGCTGTGATGATGTGGGTGTGAGTGTGCGTGGTGAGGTGGCATTCCGTGATGCGGTGGCGGTCCATTCATGCCGCCTGGTCCCGGACCAGGTCCTGGCACACCGCCCATATGACCATGACCCATGTGTGGGCCAGCATTGCCGTGTGGACCCATCATGTGCGGATTACCGCCGCCACCGCCCATATGGGGTGGCATGCCGCCTGGACCGGGACCATGCATGCCCGGTCCGGGTCCCATCATGTGATGCGGCGGTAGACCACCTGGATGCGGATGATGCGGGTGCGGATGATTCATGAGCTGCGGGTGCGGTGGTCCTCCAAGGTGTGGGGGTTGCTGAGGTGGCAGCATTTGATTCATGCCCATGCCCATGGGACCACCAGGTCCGTGACCAGGTGCACCTGGTCCGCCTGGTGGTCCAACCATATGGACGCCCATCGGGCCATGTTGTTGCTGCTGATGTTGTTGCTGCTGTTGTTGCTGCTGCTGTTGCTGTTGTTGTTGCTGTTGTTGTTGTTGTTGCTGCTGCTGCTGCTGCTGCTGCTGTTGTTGTTGTTGTTGCTGCTGTTGTTGCTGCTGCTGCTGTTGTTGTTGTTGTTGTTGTTGTTGTTGTTGTTGTTGTTGCTGCTGCTGTTGCTGCTGCATAGGAACATTTGGATTCATTTGCTGGCTCATCATGGGTCCATTGTTGTTGCTCATGTTGTTGCTGTTGTTGCTGCCTGGGCCGCCGCTAAGCGCTGGCGATTGCAACGGACTGGGCCCAGAATTGGGCATGCCCGGACTGGGACCGGCGCTGTTTAACGCATGATGCGGTGACATGGCGGGCGGCGCTGGTGAGGACGTAGGCACTGATGTGGTCGCTGTTACCGACGTTGACGTCGTCGTCGCCGCTGTGGATGCTGCTGATGACGCCACTGGCATTGGACCGTTCGATTGCATTGCATTGGGCACACCGCCCAAACGGCCACCTGCCGCCGCTGGCGACAGATGTGGATGAGGATTTTGATTGTTGTTGCTATTGTTGGGATTGTTGCCATTGTTGTTATTGTTATTATTATTATTATTGCTATTGTTGTTGTTGGCCGAATTGCCACCCATCATGTTGCTGCTGTTATTATTGTTGTTGTTGCTGTTGGCTGGCGACATGCCACCGGGCCCAACTAAACCGCCCGGCCCAGGACCCGGACCTGGACCTGGTCCACCGGACATGTGACTGTGATTTGTTGGCCCATTGCCCAGCGGACTGTGCAGGGGCGGCGGACCCATTTGTCCATTGTTCATGTGCGTCTGTTGCGGGTTTTGTGGCTGCTGCTGCTGTTGGGTTCCTGGTTGCTGTTGGCCCGGCCCGGGCCCAGGTCCTGGACCCAGTGGACTGCCAATTTGATTGCCCATGGGTGAGCCCATTGGCAGCGAGTTCATTGGCGAATTCTGTCCGGGCATCGGTCCACCAGCACCGCCCATGGGCGATCCCTGCATTGCACGCGGATTAGGCCCGTTGGGACCGCCCATGGGTGATAGTCCGCCCATACCCATATGATGTGGGGATATGCTTGGTCCTCCCATGTTGCCCATCGGACTCATGCCGCCCATGCCAGCCATTGCGCCCATTGGACTGCCCATGGGTACTCCGCCGGCTCGACCATGATTCATATGCGGCGGCAGTCCAACGCCGGGTCCCATGCCATGCGGATGCACGCCAGGTCCTAAAGGGCTCACGCCAGGTCCCAAAGGGCTCATGCCGCGCATGGGTGGCGGCCCACCCATATGATGTGGTCCGTGTGGCCCATGGCCCATGGGTCCACCGCCGGCGCTAGGATGATGCGGATGTGGATGCATATGCGGATGCATGCCCATGCCCATGCGCTCCTCCCAATGCGGGTGCGGGCCAAAATGGCCGCCGGGTCCGCCGGCGCCACCCATTTGATTCATAGCCGCCATGGCAGCGGCTGCTGAGCTGGACATGGCAGATACCTGGGGGCTATCATCGAACGGATTGGAGGCGACGATTGTATCACCAAAACCGCCCATCGGCGGCGGTGGCAATAAATCCTGCGGTGTTGGCGGCGCCGATTGTTGTTGTTGCATCGAATTGGCAGCGGCAGCCGCCGCAGCTGCCGCCGCTGCAGCAGCTGCCGCCGCCGAATTGGCCGCATTTGATGTTTTCCGTCGTTTTTTCGGATTACTCGGCGCCGAGATGATATCCGTCGGTGGCGGCGGCTTAAAATCAGGCGGACAGAGACCGCCCGCTGGACCCGGCAAACGATATGGCGCCATACCGATATTGTGGGTCATATTCGAGGTGTTTTTCTTCCGAATGGTGGCAGCTTTTCTTTAACTACGGGGCGAACGAAAATTTCTATCTAATGGCGTCGTCGATCCGCGGGATCACGACGCGTTTATTCAAAATACAAATTGATTGGAAATGCGGCTCTCGATTTTTACTTCCTTTAGCCGAGCGGGGCTGCCAACCTGTGCGAAAAGGAGCTCCTTGAGTGATGTATAGATTTTAATTAATTGCTGCACCATTTACCACTGCATCCCAATGAGAAAAGTGTCCAAAAAATAAACCTCTGTGAGGACAGAAGCCGCCACAAATGCGACTACCTTGGCAATTTCAGAGCTGGCAACTCTACGCGCGCATGTCGTCAGCGTTGGCAGCGTCTCTGAGCAGCGTAGCGCCAAGCAGCAGCACCTGCACCACAAATAACACAATATGCGATATGGGCTGCACGTTGCAATAATTAACCGTTTTGTGTTTTTTTTTTATTTGATATGATTAATTGATTTTGTTAGACACAACGCTGATTATCCTTTCGTTTTCTTTTTTAATTACAATTTTCTCACTTACTGGCTCTTCTTCTTGCCACCGATTTAATGTTCTTTCTGCACCACCACCGCAAAGCAGCGGCAGCAAATTTTGCTGCGTTTTTTAATAATTACACTAGAAATTGTAAGCGCATTCTTATGTGCGGCTACTCGATATAATTTGCACGTTTTTAATTTTCAGCATGCAGTATTGCCGTTTGCGCAAGCAAATTTCATCCGTGGTTTTCGTTTTTTGTTGATGGCCGCGGTGCCCGACTATATTTTTATGTGTGAATTGGTTGCTGCGTAACCATTTGAACACAAATAACACATAATTTTGGGTTGTTTAGAGCCACACTTGGTCATTAGTACGCCGATGCGTTTAAAATTGCTGCGTAACTATAATAATTCGTCAATTTTTGTATGCGAAGCGTCGTGGATTCTAAAATATAAATAATTTTCCTCGCCTGTCAGCCAAGGTGACCGTATTTCGACAACAACCAAATACCAAAATTGCATTCTTTATTTTATAGTTAGGATGACCATCAATCTATGCGTGTTCAGCCCATCGATATGACATTTAGATAATATCGATAAGCAAAAACTTTAAACATGTTTATGACTTAAATTGACTTGAAAGCCATATTGCAAATCATATATAAATAAACCTGCTGAGTATTTGGTCTTCAGTGGTATAAAAGTGATAAATAGCATATTTATACTTAATAGAACTATCGAAACTAACGCCATTAGCTGATGTAAACTCTCACCCCTATGGCAAGTGACGCTTACAATTTTGGCGCTGGCTGATTTAAATTTGTTTTTTTGTATCGACTAAAAGTTTGCGTGCTAAACAATGTGGAGCAACTTTGAAGCGTCTACGGTGGAGGATGAGACCATTTCCAATGCCTTTTCCTCACGCAGCATTTTCAAAATAAGCAGCGAAGTTGAGGTGAAATGCACTTGAAACTAAAAAAAAAAGAAAATTAAAACTATTTTGTTTGTTAGGTTGCAAAATATCCTGCTATTCAGGCATCGGTGCAAAGTGGCAAAATGGTGATATCGGTAGATAAGAGTCTGTTGCTGCTCGAGGATGAGCTGGTGGCCAAGTGCAGTTTTCTCAGTTTTGGCGCACAGATCGATGCAATTGCCATATCCAACAGCGGAAATCTGATTGTGTGCGGCCTAACGGATGGCGAAGTCCATGGCGTATATATCAAGGGTTTGTTACTGTTCAGTGTTTGCATTAAAATGGAAGATGTTAGCATCAATAGCGGCACATTTACAAGCATACAACAATTGGATCAGCACTTTTACTTTACCTGCAAAAATGGCAGCGTCTATTGGTGAGTAGAATCCGCGCTCAGATATGGGGATTATCTCGCTTAACCACTTTCACGTTTCTAGCCTGAGTGAGTTCAATGAAAGCCAGCTGGAATCACTATCCAATGTAACGTTAACTGATAATGAAAACATGGCTGCACTTCTGGATGATGTCACCATTGAGCGCACATCCACTGGACGTGCTGTCAACAGCGTGGATAGCGCTCTACTGCTCAAGCAGCCTACAGGCCTCGGCTTTGCCATCAACAATCGGGAGTCGCCGTGTGCTGCTCACGATCTGATTATAACTGGCGCGCAGGGCACACTCAATTTTAAAAGCGCTTCCAATGATGTCACCCGCATCAATTTGCCAACGCATCTGGGCAGCATAAAGGACATCTACAATGCGGAGCATTACATGTAGGTTTGAGCATAAAAATATCTGCATATTTACAATTTAGATGTTCTCCATGCTCGCAGCATTGCCTTGACCCATTCTGGTAACCTGCTGCAGATTTGTCCGTTTACGCGAACTGTCAGCTTAAGTCAGTCGACGCTGAGTCGCACGCTGCTCGTCGAGGACATGCTGGTCATGGAGTCCAGCGAGGAGCATGTGGAGCTGTTAATACTTACCAAACCCACAGCAGATGGCGAGCGTTTCATTAAAATTGTCGAATATCCTTGTAAGTTTTGGTTTCATTTGTATTTGATGCTGCTTAGTGCGGCAACACATTCAAAAAGTTTTATTGCTTCCGCTTATGAAAACCCGCAAGTCGATAATGAGATAGCATAGAAAGAAGAGACTGTAAGTGAGTCGAAGTGACTCAAAAGAAAATTAGTTTACTGTTTCTTGTACTAGCTGGTCAGTTAAAGGTCGAAGTTAAAGACAAGCAAAATGGAAACTTCTAACAATAAAACTACTGATCGTTTTCGCCTTCAGGTTAGACTGCGACTTTCTGGTTTTCTCATAAGCAGAAGCGGCAGCAGTTTGCAATAGTCAAAGCAAAGAAATAACAGAAGTTTGCGACTTTTGCTGTTCCGACTGAACACATTTTTAAACACTGATCCTCACGACTGATTGTCAACTTTTTAGCGCTCAAGTGCAAAAACGAGGTGGAGGTGCCGTTGCACGCCTGGCTCATCCGGCAACCGAAGAGCGCCGTCAATTTGTATTATCTGGCGGCCCGGGCGATTAGTGAAAAGGAAATTCCTTCGGAGCTGGAAATGATGATGGTCTCCGAGACGGATCCCAGTGATCGTTTGAAGAAACTCATTGCTAAGGGACGTCTGGAAGAGGCGGAGGTAGCTACTTGATTACGTCTTATTAGTATAACATTAGTTATTTATTGTCTCTGCTTTTGCGTTATCGCCCAGGACTTTGGCAAACAATTTGAGCTGTGTTTGCAGCCCATCTACGAGGCCAGAGCCAAACGTATTCTCATCGAGCTGTGCAATGCAAACACACACAATGCGCAGCTCGCCGATCTGGAAGATAAGTTTCAAATGCTGCTTAAATTACTGGGTCAGATCGAGAGTAAAGCGTTTATCAAAAATAATCGCATGATTAATTTAAGTTCACGTCAAATTTTGGAGCGTTACTTAAAGGAAATACAGAAGAGATTGGATTTTGAGGTGAGCATTTAAACGATTGCTGAAACACGCTTATTTATAGTTAACATTCCCACCCAGGAAGATGAGCTGCACATGCTGGAAATAGATGAGCAACTGCATCGCCTCAAAACACTGGCAATCATTGATCCCTATGAGTGCAACACCGAGTGGCAAAAGTTCGTGTACAACACGAATCTAGTGAGGGTGGTCAAGGGCATGTTTAGCAACGATATGCCCTCCGCCTGCCTTATCTGGCGTCGTCACTCGAGCAGCATTTTGCCACATCTCAGCGAGGATGAATTGCGTACACTGCTGGGTTTTATACCCAGTAATACGGAACCACTAAATGTGGTGCAGTGGTTGCGCCAATTCGTGCCCATGGTCAGCAGTACGCATCCAACCATTATGCCGTTTATTACCGACTGGAGCATTGAGATGACCCGCAAGCTGCAATATAGCGAACACTGGCCCGATATTGGTCTCGAGTTTGCGAGCAATATTTTAGAAATATTCGAGGAAGTTCAATTTATCTACTCGTGAGTTTTTGTTGCTGTTAAATAATGAAAAGAAACTAAACTCGTTTCGCATTTTTCAGCCATTTGGGTCGCCAGCAGGAGCGCAACATTGGCAAGCTGCGCGATCTGGTCAATGCTCTGCAGGATTTATCAGTATTAAAAACGAGCTACAAGCTGGTCTTTACGCTGGACAACTATATGCAGGACTCCATAGATGACAAAGCGTTGCGCATATTACAGCGCGTACATTTGGATAATTTACAGAACCTGGTAAAGGATTTTCTATATCCCATCTATAAGGAGAAGGGTCGCCAGCCGTTAAATGTCATCAAACAGTATATAGCCCAATTGGTGGGAAATCGTCAATCGCTTAGCAATTGGCTGGAGCGCGCAATGGCCTGCATAGAGCTGCTGCACAACGAGGATAGTCGCATGGAGTGCGCCCTCTCGATACTACAAAATGCGCCGGTGCCGTGGCCAGAAACGCTGTCACCGCTTATTAAACTGCGCAATTCCACGCATCCACTGAGCGCGAAGATCAATGCTGAATACGAGATACAAGTCATAAAGATCATGAAGGTCAAGTACGGCTGGCCAGCGGATAGCTCGGCTGACATCAATCTGGAGCTATTTATGATGCGCATTGTTAAGCTAAATTTGCCGGACATGCTGGACGATATACACACACTGACAAAAGCGGCGCCAGAGATCTCCACCAGCGCCAATTTCAATTGCTGCTATCAGATGGCGAGACGTGGTCAAATTGAGTTGGCCTATGAGTTCTTCAAGTCGCTTAAATGCAAATATATTGAAAAGCAAGGCAGCGATGTTGTTGATATCCTGGCCAATCTGCTCGAGATGAGCTCGGGCTCGTTTGTGAACGAAGCCAAATTGCAGGAGCATGTTAATCTGCTAGAGTTATTCAAGCTGTTGCTGCCCCATGTGGATTCTGTGTACAGTCAGCGCTATCTGCTCATTAAACATTGCTTTCAATTGCGGCAAAAGTTCAGTTTGCAGCTAAACGCCAGCAGTGATCTGATATCGCTTCAAAGGCGCCTGGAGCTGCTAGATGAGGGCATCGAACTGATCATGTCACGCGCTCAGGCTGCATTGAATGTGTGCGCTTTTATAGTCAATGAAATGGCTGATCTATGCGGCGCACTTCATCTGCAAAAGGTGCAAGGATTGTTGCGCATTAGCCAGCGCATGGGCTGTCTGCCGCTCAGCTGTGCATTGGCTCATCACGTACTGGAATTCATCGACTGTGTGCCAGCGAATAGCGTTGAGTTTATCAACTTTGCCATTGAGCTGCTGGTGCAGCAAATTAACGAGGCCAAGAGTAATGGACTTGGTAAGTATTAAGTCTGATTATATACGTTAATGTCTATATATTTTAACCGACTAACTAATTAGTAATCAGCGACTGCCTTAAAGATTCCGCAGTAGTAACCAATTAGATCGTATCTAAACTCGTTTTATTTGAATCTATCGTGCTTCATCAATTAAATAAAATTCACTTTAGAAAAACATGCAGAAAACTCCAAGAGGATATTTTCTCTTCCTTTGTCCGATCGGCTTTGAATTCATATGAATTTCGTTTTTATTCATTTTATTTATATCAATTCCGAAGATCGGAAATTCCTTAGTTGAACCAATTGGGGTCCAAGGTTTTTCAATTCTCGTCTGACCAACTTAAAACTTAATAAATAATCGTAAATTTGTTGAAGTTATGCATGAAAATCAATGAATTCACTGCCCCAAACGAAAAAAATAGATGGAAAAGTGATAGTTTGAACTAACAGAAGACACCTTATGTGTTAGGGAAAGTCGAGTATTTCCTGTAAGTAAATTAGTTAAATACTTTGTTTTCTCACAACAGAGATGTATTCTTCGCTGAAGATGCTCAACGAAAGTGATCCTTTGAGCTTTCCGCTGGCCTACGAGCTACTAACGGAGGCGCTGTTGCATGAGCGCAGTCGCCAGCGCGATCTTAATGAGCTGATTAAGTATGTGCGCGTCGCAGTCATACACTATCCGATGGATGTCATAGAGGCGCACTATCTGGGTAAGGAGAAGAGCATAAACGATCAAATATGTCGCGCGCTCGATGGCGCACCAATTGCACTGGGCGAGACAACGCTAAATTTCTCCACGGCGCTCAATGAGTCTATTGAGGTGAAATTGACTGTGGAGCAAACGACCAAGAAGCGTTACTCCGTGTCTATGTTCGATGATGTCGATGTGCAGCCCCAGAAGCAGCCGCAGCAGAAGGTACAGCGATTTCGCTAACTCAACTTTAAAATTTATTAGAATATGTATACCCTATAGAAACGCATGACCGGCAGTCTGCCCATTGTCAAGTTCTTGGCGCGCACACTGCTCCTGATGACCATTGAGACGAAACCAAATAATTCGTTGTTGCTGCAATTGCAACAGCTGCTGCCAGAGAATGTCAAGGGCGATATTGATGGCGCTCGCGCCGATTTCTTTTTGTCGCTGGAGCATTTGACCAAGGCCAAGGAGCACGATGTCTGGTACATTATGTCACAGTATCTGCTGGAATATCAGAAACAGAATCGCAGCAGGAAGATCATTAACGAGGGTTTCATAACGCTGCAATTACGCCGCATCCTGCGCAATGCCATGAACAACAAGGAGGCCAACTTAATTGGTAAAACTCTAAAGCGTTTGCCTCATCTCCGCTCTAATTGCTTCAAACCCTTTCAGAGCTCTTCACCATGCTGGTAGCGGATACCGAATCTCGGGCCCTGCTGGACAAGCTGTCCATGGAGGTGAAAACGGATCAGCAGAAAATACATTTTCTCACTCTCTCCGCCATGTACAATGAGCACATTGACGAAATGGATTATGTACAAGAATTGCGTGCCAAGTATGTTAAATCCTAGGCTATGTAATTAGTCTTTTTATGTTTAATACTACTTTCGCATTTCAACAGACGCAATAAGCTGTATTACTATTTGGAGTTCTGCCAACAGGATCCGAGTATTAAAGGCAAATTCAATGCCGATATGGACAACATTGATCAGCTGCTAAAGGAATTTCACAACAAGCGTCTCAACGTGCAGCTGCTGGAGCGAATGAGCACAGACTTTGGTTTGGATTATCAAAAGATGCTCATCACACAAATATTGAGCATATTGAATGCACAGGAACTGCGCTATGAGATTAAGACGGATACGTTTGGTGACGAAGAGCTGGTCATGTTAAGCAGCGTGCACGAGATACGGGATATGTGCCAGCCCTACATAAATGAAATCAAGAATGTAGAGCTCTTCACCTCCAAGCTGAAGCAGTTCATTGATGAGATCAACATCTATTTCTATGAGCTGTATCTATGCGTTATTGAGATTCTTATGTTCTTCGATGCAGCGCCCAAGCAGATGGAAACCTGGATAAATATTTTACATTTCCTGCGCCACAAAATGATCAGGAGACGTCGCAATCGCCCTGGTCAACTGGAGACGGACATGTGGCTGCAGTCGCAAAAGGAGAACGGAGTGCTGCCCAAGATTGCGCGCTATCGCCTTCCCTTCAAGCCCATTGTGGAAAAGCCTCTGAAAGACATTCTCGGTGGGTTGTTGTGGTAGACACTTAAAGCTTATTTGTTTACCTTATAAATTGCTTCTGCAGACAGCGAGCTGAACGTGGACAACTGTCAGAGCTGGTTCCCCCTCATACTTATGTGCACTTCGCTGAAGAACTCCAAGGATATCTCACAGAATTGTGACTACTTTTGTATGGCAGCCGTTAAGAACTCTATAGCCGAGTACAAATCGAAAAACGATTCGGAATCCTGGAGCTTGCATCCAACCAATAATGCATTCCTTAAATCGGTGCCAACTTGAGCTTCATTTCCCACAGTTTGAAGTTTAATTTTAAGACGTTTTTACTTGCAGATACTCCGCTTGGTTAAGAACGTACACAGTCCCAGCAAGGTGTTCCTTATCTTGTATTTTGTTGCCGGCTATGCGCCTGAGGGTGCCGATCAGGTGGAGGCCTCCTATGAGTGCTGGAAATATGCCAAGGACCATGGTTCGCTTACCAATGATCCCAAATGCCAAGATCAGTTAGCTAAAATCAAGCGCAGATATCCCATACAAAAGACACAACATTTGCTCTACGTTTATGGCATGACCGATGAGAAACTGTTGCGTCTGGTCGAGCATCCCATAGAGCTAATACATTGCCTATACCATCACGAACTGATACTCAAGTCCAGCAAGGTGGACATCAATGCACTGGTCAAAGAGATTTGTGCATTGCACGAGCTCACTCTGAGTAACATACAGTTTAAGCTGTTACAGAACTGGCTGTCCGTCACAATGGAGACCACAGACGGTACTATCTTAGAGGAGACGTTCCTTGAAGATCAGAACTGGCCGGAGAATGGCAGCAACGGTAATGGCGATGATACCGGCAATGCCAGCGAAAATGTTGTGCGCGCATTTTATTTACTCAGCAGCTGGCCCAAATCGGAGGCGGTGCAGTTCCTGGTGGGCCTCATCTTTAAGGGCGGGTAAGCTAGAAGCCAATCGTAAGAGTTCTGATCTTATATCTGTGTTTGTAACCTTCTGCCTTTGCAGCCCTGTCAACACCTCCACGCAGCTACAGATGTACGAGTGCTACTCTAAGCTCAACGATGGTAGCAATTCCTTCAGCAACACCATCAGCCAGCGCGAGTTCATCACCATCAAGTGTGTCCACAAATTGAAGGCTCTCGGCTACAATTCCAATATAGAGAAATTCGCTGATGACAACTGCGATAAGATTAACATCTTGAAGATGGTCTGGCAGCGCAATGCACAGAATCCACTCTCGCTGGAGGTGATGGCTGACATTTGCCTGGGCTTCGATATACATTTGCCCAAAATCTGGAATGGTATACTGAAACGCATGGTTATATTTAATATGGTGCGTGAGCTAAATGCATTAGTCGATGTGCTCAGCTGCAAGCCGCAGCTTTTGCACTTGGATGGTCTTGCACTGGCCTGGGACTGTGTGTTGACACATCCGCTCAAGAACGCAGTGCAAACGCGCTCCATTGCCCTGGAGGAGCGATTGCAGAAAACACTGCTGCGTCTGCAGGGTTGCCCTGTGGTGGATGCACTGAATCTATATCAATTTGCCGAGCTCTGCATGCTTATCCATCGTCCACATATGGCCGCTACGGTGCTTATTTACTGTCAAAGCACCGAGCAGCGCGAAAAGATAAAGAAGGTAAGTTTATGAGAGATATAAGGTTTTTGTTGTTGTTCTTCAAATAATCACGTTTGTATTTGCAGCTTATTATGTCTAGACATGTGGACAATTTGCGCCAGCAGATTCTGGAGCTGGAGGATGCCGGCTTGATACCAATGGTTCTTAACTTTGCTCTGAAGGAATTGAATCTCTAGTGAATCATCTGAATCAATCAGTATAGATAAAATGTTAGTTTGTTAACTTGAATACATATTTAAAACTTTCGTATTTACTGTAATCTTGAGATTATAGTAGCATTAAAACATTCCCATCGATATAAAAGTTGGTTTTCATATGTAGAATATTTTAGACCTAAAGAAACCTTAACTTTACTACGAGCTTTACTATGTTCATAGCATATAAACAAGAACTTATCATTTGTCATTACACTGTCTACCTTTTATACTATAATCAGCTGAAAATCGAGTTTTAGTAAAACGACGTATACATAAAACCTCTAAATCTATAAGGCTTTTTAATCTTCGGTACCCAAAAAAAAAAAAACATTTATAATAACGAAGAAAGAAACCGAAGGAATCTTTGGTAGATCGCTATACATATATTTGTATTTCCCATGCATAAACAGATATTGATTATATTCAATTAATTTTCTCAATAACATTTGATTTATTAGATTATTCGTAATCACAATCAAATTAAATTTTTCGCTAATCAACAAATAGTAACGGCATTTATGACATCACTAAGCGCCGCTAATGAACAGTGGAGCAAATACAGGGGATAACCTACTTAGTTGCAGGCGCATTGTTTAATTACATGCAAACAGGTGTACACATTTTAATTGATGATAAATGTAGACACATGCACGCTTTTAGATAAGATAAGATAAAAAGAGCAGCCAACTAAATTGTTGGCATACTTAATTTCTAGCCGCAGCGCATTTGAAGCGTTTTATGCTTTGCCTTGGGCCACTGTGCGCAGTCAAAAATCAGCTGTTCGCACTCAAAAAGTAAATACACACACATATGTATTTAATGTGTGTACATAACAGCCACGGCAAACTCTAGTTCTGGGTCAAAACTCGAACACAACAAAAATTGCAATTTATTAACTTTTTTAACAACTTTAAAATTAAAATGTTGCGTATTTTCGTGGGAGCACAAAAGTGTTTAGGCCTGGTTAACAGAAAATGTACACAGGCGGCGTCTAAGAAATTATGCACTCCCCATATCGCGCCTCTGGCCTCAATATTGAGCATGTGAGTAGCAAAGCTTTTAAATTGCAGCTATAACTAAATGAAAACTTTGCGCTTGCATAGCCGACATTATGCGCCGCCCACGCACATCAAACAATCGGCGGTGCCCAACGATTCCGGCACCATGTCGGAGAGTAAGTCCATCCATAATCTCTAGTATATAACCTTAGTTAACTCTTTGATCGCATAGTCAAGCACCAGATGATGCAGCGTCTGGGTCTGGAGCCGGGCTATCAGCCGCTGCCCAAATCGCGGGAGCATCTGCTTAAATATCAACCAAAGCTGGAGGACCTGCCAGCGCGTGCCATGCAGGATTCATTTACCTCGGCCATAATACCACTCAGCACGAATCGTTCGCTGCAGGACAAATATGTAACGTATTTGGGCAACGTGCGCATGGGCAGGCTGCTGGAGGACATGGACATGTTTGCTGGTTGGCCTCATTCTCTCTCAATTAATCTTGTTTATCAATGTAATTCACTTATCGTTATAGCCTGGTGCTGCCACAAGCATTTGGTGGTGCCCCAGTTGCCTGCAGATGTGCATTTGCCGTACACCTTTGTGACCATACTCGTGGATCGTATTGATTTCGCCAACACCCTTGCCTCCGGCACCGAGGATATACGCCTCTCCGGACATGTTTCATGGGTGGGCACCAGTTCCATGGAGGTCGTCGTTTGGCTGGAACAGATGCAAAACGGCAGCTATAAGAAGCTGACCCGTGCGCTGTTCCTTATGGCCGCGCGCAATGCTACCAACACGGCGGCGGCGCCCGTAAATCCCATTAAGCCAGCCAACGAGGAGGAGTCGGTGATTCTAGCCGGCGGCATAGATCGCAAAAAGCAGCGTCAATTGCTGGGCGCACAGTCCATCTTTAAGGTGGAACCCAACGATCCGGAACAGACGCTCATGTACGAGCTGTACAAGCGCACCACGCCCACCGACACCATGGAGCTGAACAAACGCATATTGCCGCCCAACTGCCGCTGGATGTCCGATTCCTATCATATGAGCACCATACCATCGTTTCCCGAGCATCGTAATCATCATAATCGGGTCTTTGGTGGCTTTCTAATGCGGACCGCTCTGGAGATTAGCTGGGCGGCCGCGGTGCTCTACTGCAAGACGCGTCCCAAGCTGGAGCACATTTCGGACATTAGCTTCGAGAAGCCCGTGAGCGTGGATTCGTTTATTAAGATGACAGCCTATGTGGTGTACACGACACTGAACTATGTGCAGATCATGACCGTGGCCGAAGTGCTGGACCCGCACAGCGGCAGCCAGGTGACCACCAATACCTTCTACTACACCTTTTCGGCACCGCATACGGTGACCGAGGTGCTGCCACGCTCCTACCACGAGACCATGTGGTATCTTCAGGGTCGTCGCAAGTTCGAATATAGCAAGGGTCTAAAGAAGACATAATTTGAGAATTATAAACGAATAATGATAATTAAATACTACGTGAGGCTATGATAAGGAGGCGCTCCGCTGGCAATACTACAGACACAGTGAAGACTGTTAACGCTGACCGTACTCAAATGCTGTACCTTGTTTTTTCTCAAACCAAACTAATATTATGTTATATCATAGCTTAAATCTTAAGTTTCCTTATAACAAGCTGTGCTTAATTTTAAAGTGTTCACTCGCAAAATTAGAAAGCTTTGGTCGTACAGTTGATTCCAATTTGCAACGATTTGTAATATCTGAAAGTAAAATTAATGAATACCCCAATTTTTTTTTGATTATTTTTATTGTACAAATTTCAAAAACTCAAAAAATATAAATGTAATTTTCTCTAATAAACAAATTTTAGATGAGGCATAAAAAATGTCAATTCCAATTTTTAGACAATCCTAATTTCGAATGACCACTGTAAAATAAAATGTATCTTGACTCTTAACTCATCTTGTCAAGCAATAATATATAGTTATAAAGCTGTTCAGTTTTAGTATAAGCAAAAATCTTATATGTAGCTAATTGTTTGCCAAATGCAGCCGTATACTCAGCGGTCAACATAGGCAGTTATCACTGTATAAGCATAAATACTATATCAACTTATAATTCTTCTCTGTATTTTTTTTTGCTGTAATAAAACCGATTTGTTGTAATGGTCCTGGTTGAGGACTGATTAACATACGATTTGGTGGCTGACTGAGATATGTGCTATATAAGATCATGCCCGCCCCTCCTCCCTCCTCCCCATCCCTTCGTATCAAGCTCGCTGCGAGGAAACGCTTAACGAGGAAAACTTTGTCTAGTGCTCAATGCAAATAAACTCATTTATGCTTTTTTTTAATAATTGTCCATTTTTGTTTTTATTTTTATATTGGCGCTACATTTTTAGACATTTTTAAAATGCAAGGTATGAGAGGATTACGGCCTATAATTCCGGGCACATGGCAATATTTGTCCAGGTAAGGCTTAGCTAGCTGCCAGCGGCACCTGTTGGATTCTCTCAAAATAAGCAACGTTGCAGGGCTGAAACACGGCTGCGCCTGCCTTATGCTGTAAGGCACTATCAGATGGGTGAATTTTTGAAGAAGCAATCGGACCATTATTCGGGCACCATGGCGGAAAGTAAGCTTCAATACCAACCTCAATGCTGTGCCTGATTTTACTCTGGATACAATTGCAGTTGGGGAAAAGATACGTGAGCGACTGGGCGTGGAAATAGGTTATCATATCGTGCCCAAGTCACGGAAGCATCTGCTGAAGCATCAGCCCAATCCGGAGCAGCTGCCGCCGCGAAGCATGCAGGATTCCTATACAGCGGTCACCTTGCCGCTAAGCGCGGATGAGATGATACGAGAACGTTACATTAATCACCTGGGCAGAATGCGTATTGGTCGCCTAATGGAGGACATGGATATGTTCGCAGGTGAGCAGAACAGCCCAAGCATCTCATGTATATTACTGTTAAATTCGCTTGCCAGTTTGGCTGTGTCATCGTCACGTTCACGTACCGGAGCTGCCCGAGAATGTGTCTTTGCCGTACACTTTTGTCACACTGCTGGTGGATCGCATCGAGTTTACAAACATTGTTGATTTGCAGGTCAACAAGGATATTGAGCTGAGCGGTTTTGTATCCTGGTCGGGTCGCACCTCCATGGAGATAACAATCTATGTGCGCCAGCTGCTGGATGGGGAGTATGTGAACGTGACCAAGGCGTTGTTTCTGATGGTCGGTCGCAATGCAAACAACACGGGCCCGGCACCGGTGAACAAGATTGAGCCCGCCAATGAAATGGAACAGCACTACTGGGAGGAGGCGGAAAAGCGGCAAGAGATTCGCAAAAGCTCCAAGACTGAAAGTGTATTAATATCGCCACCACTGGAGCATGAGCAGGCCATTATGTATGGCCTGCTCAAGCTGACCACACCACCGGATTGCTTCGATTTAAACAAACGCATATTGCCACCCAAATGCCGCTGGATGGCGGACAGTCAGCGTACCACAATGATGAATCCCTTTCCAGAGAATCGCAATACACACAACACCATCTTCGGTGGGTATGTAATGCGTCAGGCCGTCGAGCTGAGCTTCATAATGGCCAGCATCTATACAAGAGGTCGACCCGTCTTGAAGTGCATATCGGACATTAGTTTCATGCAGCCGGTCAAGGTAACCGCATTCCTTGAAATGACCGCCCATGTTGTGTACACCGCGCAGAACTATATCCAATTGATGACAGTTGCCCAAAACTGGGATGCCAAAAGCGGTGAGAACACAACTACGAACGTATTCTATTTCACCTATCAGACGAATAAGATTGTGGACGAGGTGTTGCCGGGCTCGTATCGTGAGATGCTCTGGTATATACATGGGCGACGCAAATTCATGACCGCACTCAACTTGCAGTTGGAGGTACCCCAGCCAGCTAATGAAGACTGCCAGGTGGAGGAGGTGACTGCAAAATAATTAACACACGCTTAGTTTTTCTTTTTCCTCGTACCTCGACACATATAGTTCCGATTTTGTAATTGTTTATTATTTTTTTTACAAAATTATTTGTAATCAAAGTATTTAAAAATCCTTAAATTGAAGTTTTGCCTGGGCCGCACGCTTAGAAGCGCAGACGGTGAGGGTATTGGGAAGAGTGCAGGGCGAACATGTTCTGCAAGTACTTCTTAAAGAATTTACCCTCTGGGTGGGCCTTGATCACCTTCAGCAGGGCGCTGTCGATCTCCTTTTGGTCCTTCTTGCGCTGCTCGTTAGGCACAAAGCGCTCCTTCTTGGCCGCGAAGATGTCGGCTTCGCCGGACTTCTTCTGCTTCTTAGCCTTCAGGCGTCGGAAATAGGCGTCGTTCAAATGTTCGGGTACCTTGAATGCGCCCAAATCCACCCGCGTTGAGGTGCCAATAACAAAACGCTGCGAAACGCGACGCAGCGGGCACGAGTTCAGTGCAAACGGACCGGTGACCAGCAGCAGGCCAGAGGTCAGCGTCTTCAGCAGAACAACGCGCTTACCCTGATGACGGCCAGCCAACAGGATGAGCACGGTGCCGGGCTGCAGATTGCGGCGCGTGTTGCGCTTGTGCTCACTGAAATTAGCCTTGCCGGGGCGCTTCTTCACGAAAGTCTTGGTTGGATAGTTGGCCTTAGGCTTGCGCAGATAAACGGTACGCTCACCTCCGTTCTTGGGGCCTCCGATCTTCTTGACCTTCTTGATGGGCACCTTCTCCTTCTGCACGACAGGGTGCTTCTTATCTTTCAGGCGATACAGCGCGCGGCGCTTGTACATCTGTAAGTCAACAAATAAATAAATTAAACACAAGCTCAGCCAGTTGTCCACACACTTTGTCGCTTGCCAGGCGAGACGAGGCGAAGGAAGCGCGTCACATCTGATGCCAACATTTGTTAGCATATTTTCTGAATGTGTTTTTGTCTGTTTTTACCTGGGCTTTGGAGTATCGCAGAATACCACCCTTGAGATAAGAATTCAAGGGGTGCTTCTTGCCCTTTTTGGCCGATTTGGCGACCTTTTTAGCTTTTTCGACGGGTGCCATTGTGGAGAACACGTGTACACAGCACAAAAATTATTTAGAAAAGGAAGGTTATGTGTCACGGCATTGCCAGCACCAGGCAAAAACAGTGCATGCGTGCTATCGATAGACTTTAATGCAACTCTTTGCCAACACACTTTTCAACACTGCCGTTTAGAGCACTGGCTGATTATCGATAATAAATAATAAATTTAAAATCGATTCCTACAATTTGCCTTTTGTTTTTATTGCAAAGAAATTGAATTTAAAACGAAATTTGTTTACCAGTTAATAATACTTTTTTTCCATTTATTTGTTCTCATGTGTATACAATGAATTAAATCACGAATTTTTGTTGTTCTTTTACAGCTCCATCCATATTTTATACACAATCTTCAATTGTTTTAATTGTTCTTGTTCCTGCCACGAATCGTTTAAAACTTAAATACAACTCGAAATACAAATAAATTAAGTAAATGAATGATAGATAATTTACAAAATGAGTTGATGTTTTTGTTTTTAGTTTAAATTTCAAATTAAAACTAAAATACCTCACGCACTTAAACAAGGCTCAGAGCTGAGAAATGTACAATTTTTTCTTATTTTTGTTTGCATTGCATCAAGCATACAAAATAAGTTTTAAGTTAAAATCTCATGTTAAAACTACAACTAAAATGTATGCGCAAAAGTGTAGTACATGATTTGTTCTTATTTGTACTAGTAAATGAATTAATTGTACAATACTAATATAGATTTGTTCTGCATGTACTTTGTTCTTTAAAATGATTCGTTCTTTGTTTTTTTTTTATAGTTTTCCTTGCAAATATTTAACTAACTCCGCACTTAATATGTGTAAAATTTGCTAGTTTTAAAAGAAATTTACAATTAATGTCAGAATAACCGACTGGCGGCATATTTGTTCGGCATTTTGTAGAAAGTCTTAAGTCTATACTTCCTTTTGTTGTTTTTGTTACTTTGTGTTATTTGTCACTTGCCATTATTAAGAGTTAGACTAAGATTTAAAAAAATTAAAATCAAACAATGTTTTCTGCAGCTTGTAAATGAACACACAATTTGTTTCTGGCTCGCACAAATACTTTAAATAGTTTACGGCAGCTCTTAGCTTAAAAAAAAAGAGTATTGCCTTGAAATGTTTATGGACAAAAAGTTTGAAAAAAAAAAAAATAGAATAGAATTAAACTATTGCACATTCAGTACAAAGTTGGAAATTGTACAGCAATTAATGTTTTATTTACATTTGCAGAGTGTGCAGAGTGCGGCCTGTTTAGGTGTTCTTTTTGCGCTTTCGGAATGTACTCACATTTGGTCAGACGGGAGGAGGCGGCTCTTCCAAGGGGGGTTGGGGCGCTTCGGCTAGTCTGGCTGGAGATTGCTGTACACTCACAAATACACACACAGCGCACACACGTACGCACACACACAAAGGTAAATAAAACATTTGGATTTGTTGCAAATATTTCATCAGAAATTTGTGTGCCACTGTGCACAGTGACACGCGCATTTTATTCAAATTTACAGAAAATTTTAAGAAATCGACCGATTCTTGTTGTCGATTCGCCATTGTTGCTTTAAATGTTTGTTAAAATGAAAGAAAGAATTCTAAGAGAAAATTTAAAATCTGTTTGTTTTTTTTTTCTTTTTTTCATACTGCGGGTAGTTCTTGCAAAAGTTGTTGTTTTCCTTTTTAAATGTTTTTTGCTCTAGCTCAACTCAAGAGTAGAGCCTAATTTCTTTGTAGTTGTTTACGTGTATATATATATATACTTTTTACTATATAATGCATCATAATTTTGTAATCAGAGAGCGCCGCGCTTCAATTGAGAAAAAAGTAGAACATATATTGTTAGATATAGTTGCTAATTTTTTTGATTTTTTGTTGGGTTTTTTTTTTTCTTTTTTGCTGGTTGGAGTTTTGTTATAATAATATCTATCGTATATTTAGTACAACATATGCATGGTTCTTTTGTTTTATATTTTTGTTTTCGTTTTTACAAGTGTTTTTTTTTGTTTTTTGTATGAAATAAATTAAATAGTTATTAAATTATATAACAAAAAAGAAATTGAAAAATGTGTTTTATAAAGTGTATATATATGCATATTTAAAAAAAACTAGATATGCATCCATATAAAATTGATCACTGTTGTGTATTTTGCATTGTTTTCAATACATTTTCAGAAAAGGGGAACTCGACGCGAAGTTCCCCCAAAAAAAAAAATATCTTGCTGTTTGTCGTTGTTAAACAAATAATAACAAATTCATGAAGAATGTTTTTTTGTGTTTTTTTCTACTTGACAGCAAACTGAAATCGCTTTCAAGAATTTTCTTTTTTGTTATATAGTATATATAGAGCAGAAAAAAATGTTCGACTACACACACAACTACAAATTTTGGGGGTTTACTTTGCTTTGATTCTCTTTAATTATTATAACTGTTACGATTTCTTAGTCATAGTTTCTTGAATTCTGAGCGCGGCCAAAAATTATGGTTAAACTGTGTTTTTTTTTTTTGGGTTTGAACATTTAACTTATATTTTAATAGTCTGTCTATATTTAATGAATTTTTGTACTTTTTTAGATTTTTTGTTGATTTTTTTTTGGGGTTTTTGTTTTTTTAGGTCCAGTTTTCAAGTGTTTACAAAACAAACATGGAACAAAGAGTTATTAAAACTAATTTGAATTGTGGCGCGGGTGGTAGATTGTTTTTTTTTTTGTTTTTGTTTTTGAATTGTTTAAACAAAAAATTGCTGTCATATTCCGTATGCCTGTGCCCTTTTTGTGGGCGGGGTTCGTAATCAATTTTCATATCGTTTTCTTTCACCGATCTCAAAATGGTCCGGAACGACATCAATCTTTTGTATGATGGTCCGCATCATTTCTATATAATAGTTTTTTTTTTGTTTTTTTTTTTCTTTTCATTAGTGTTTTTTTTTAACGTTTTTGTTTTTGTCTTGCCGCAAATGTTAATTGAAAAATTATAATCTGCCTATCGCCTAAAGCAAATCAAGCTGTGGCTGGGCTGACGACTGGCTGACCTCGCATTTTTCAATAGTTTCTTAAATGGTAGAACCAGCGTAAATAATATATATATATATATGCATAAGCTAAACGAATTATGATGCATCATTTTGTTTGTTTTTTTTTAGCAATATATACACACACGCACACCCATCGCACACACGCACACGCCCAGTCACACGAATTGTGGAGCAGTTACTCAGTTCTTGTTGTAGCTGTAGATATGTCTTTTCTACTGCTACCACAATTTGTTACTGCTGCTTTTGCTGCTGCTGTTGCTACTGATGCTGTGCGCATAGATAATGATTCCTGCCTGCTGCTGCTGCTTCAATCCCTTCCCCCTGTTGTCCTGTTTTTGGGGGCTGCTGCTTTGCTGCTGGGTGCTACTAACATTGTTCGAAAATTGGAATAATGGGTGAAGTTGGCCAGTCCTCCTCCTCCTCGGAGCTAATACTCTCGGTTCTGTAAAGACAAAGAATAATCATGAAAAAGGTATTATATCATTATTATTATTATTATCGCTAAAACATTTGCCCATATTCAAGTTGAAGGTCGTCTTTCTATCAACCTGATCAGCTGATTTTTGCTTTCGAACAAAACTTTGCACAAGTGCAATCACTTTTTGACGCAGTGCGAAAGTCGAACCGGGCATTGAACTTAACGTGTTTATGACTTTTATGAAGCAATATATACATGTATAGTGTATATATATAAATATATATACGCAAGACCCAACTCATCAGATAAGAAAACAACACAAGGCCTTCAAATTAACAAAGCAAAAACAAAAATAATTTTTTGGTATTGCATTGAATTTTAAATACCGCTGCCAAAAACTGAAGGAAATATATTTGTTTTTTTGTTTACTTTAAACTTAGCATACTTTGCTCCATGGCTGACGAGTCAATGTCAAGAGCACTAATTAATCCATGTGAAAATTAATTAAATATATACAAATATGGTAGCAAATGTTTTATATATAAAAAAAATCGTTAAAAGGTTACTCTTTCAGTTTAATATTGTATTTTAAACACAATTTTAAAAAACTTGCCTAATAATATATCATATAGAACTTTTAATAAAAGTTGTTATTACGTATATCTATACATGTATGTATGTATCTTTAAAGAGAACTTGGCAGGACAAAGAACTGAACTGTCCCGGCACTGTTATATTTTTGGTTTAAAAAATAATGTAGCTTTGCAATTCTTTTCCCCATATTTATTTGTTATATCAATAACAAACAACCTCGTCTATCATTGCCTATCCCTTTTCTAAGCACAACACAAACGCGCTGTCATATTTAATATTCCCCCTTGGCTAATGTATGTGGGCGTAAGTGTCAAGGTCTTGCAATGATATTGAAACTTGTATGTATGTAAATATAGAAAGAATCGATGGACAAACGCCAGAAGAGCGCAGCCCACGCCAAGCGATTGACGCACACACAGGGGCGGCGAATTTCATAATGAGGCGAATTCCAAAATTTTTCTTAGGTAACTGTAGCGGCGACCCTCGTACGAGTCTTTGTGTGTGTGTGCGTGCGTGTGCCCTGCTGCTTAGGCGGACTAATACGGACTGATAAGATTGTTGTTGAAAAAACAACACGCACACAGCGTGACAAAACAAAGTAATATAAATACATATGCATATGTATTTGGCATGTATGTGTATATAGTAGGCGCATACATATTCATGTGCATATGTGTCTGGGCTGTCTAGCTATATGTGTTGTTGTTGTTTTTGTTGCTGTTGTCGGACCACTTTTGGCAAATGCTACGAGTTGGGCAGGCAAAACCAGCCACTGGGTCTCATGATTTTCTATGCGAGTTGTTGTTGTTGGTGTTGTTCCTGTTGCTGTTGTGATAATAAAATCGCGTCAATTCTAAAAACTTGTTTACGCCAAAAACCCGACACATACACTTGCCTACATACGAACGAGTCCAAAGAGTGCTAAAAATAAATAACGGACCCTCAGCCTTTCAGGTAGACAAACAGAAATGTTCTAGAATAGAAAACTTCGTTTGTCTTTTATCTAAGGAAATCTACAAGCAAGGCTGGATAACTAAGAATAAATTGATTGACTTGAGTTCGGTTCGTAAGCCAGGTTTTAGACACCCATAAACTTAGCTTTTGATAAGCCTTGGTTATTCATTTTGTTTCAAAATGTTGATATTGCCTTAAACCATTTTTGGATCGGTCAGTTTTTGGTCACAACTGGTTTAGTTGAAAGTTCAGTTAATAGTTCAAAATAAACTGGGGTTCCGGTCTTGGCCCGGTTCGGTTCATATATGGTCTGTAGACTTGGCTACAACTCTCTCTCTCTTAGCCATTTCCTTGACAATTTTGTTATATATTCTATATAAACTTACCTCGAGCGCAGGCCATCATCTAGGGCATTCGATATACCCTCCTCAATGGTGGGCAAATCGGATGAGAAGCGATTGATCGGGCGCAGGACGCGCAGCGTGCGACTGGATAATTTCCAGACAAGCCGCTGCTTGTAGGGCGCCTTATTCTGTCCATTGTAATGGGACAGAATGCCCGATACAATGCTAAAACCGCAGGTGAAAACGCGATCAGGAATCTGTAAAGCGAATAACACAATTATTATATGAATAATATAAACATATGGGTTAATAAAACTTACCCTCATGTATTGCTGCAGGAAGAGTATGTACTCAAATACATGCTTCAGTTCGGGACTGCCGCGTGTGTACGACTCTTTAATATGGAAATCCAGATGCAGGCAGATGAGCACTAGAGCCAAGGTCGCCGGCGTTATGACCGTCGTCTTGACATCGCACAGCAATATCTCCAAACGATTCTCCAGCTCCTCCAGTTTGATGAGCTGTTGATAGAATTTGAAGAAATCACCGCCAATCTCCTTCGCCAAATTGCGGAAGAGTGCGTAATAGATGCGCAGGTAGCTAACGGATGTGATGGGCGCATGTCCCATTTGTACGCCCAGTTTATTGGCAATAACCCCGGCCATGCGTTCCAGATCGCCAGCGGTACAACCACACTATGTAAGCATAATAAGAGACAATTGTATATACCTGATATAAGGTAATTGTGTGCGTGTGTGTGACATACCTGAGATATTGTTACCAAATCGTCGGCGGGTATGGGCTTCAAGTCCAGTTGCTTGATGGCCAAATGGAAGGAGGCAACGCTCATGCAGGCCATATGCTTCGGCTTGACAGCCATGCGATCCAGAAAGCGATCCACCAGGCTCATGGCTGAGAATAGCACATCTGACGGCAGCTCGTACCACATCTTCAGACAACGCAACACATACGCTGATCCATCACGTCCGCCGGCGGTAACCTCGCGCTGTAAACCATAAGAAAATCATATGAGCTCTATATGTCCACCATATATTTAGTTCTTCGTCCATTTACTGCCCGTTGATTTGGGGTATTCCACAATTACGGAAACACGTATTTAATAATTATGTTTTCAGAGCTTTGAAGTTGAGTTTATGTCCAATCGGACGAGAGAATTTCGTCTACACAATCTTTGACCCCTTTGCCTTTGAATAAAGTCTTAAGCTAGGATATCCCATACAATCGTTTTTCGCAAAGTTTCCATTGCAAAACCTCATCATAATATTCAGTATGCCTAGTTTCTAACTCCAGTCAACTAGTCAGTCAGTCAAACATCGGAAAATATATATTTAAATATATTTGGATCTTCAACTTACCCTCGACTCCTTGGGCAGCAACAATACTGTATGATATTTATCCTGCAGTACATCGTACTCTTTTAGGGTCTCATACAGTTCATCCGAGCTAAGCGCATGCAATTGATCCTCTAGTTTTTTAAGCGCTGTTGGCTCGGCTCCAACTGCTCCAGCTCCTGCGGCTCCAGCTTCAGTTTCCAGTGTTTGTTGTTCGTACTTTTGATATTCCAAGCCAGCAGCACCCGGTGTCCCATACCGGCCCTCGTCCGCAATCCTCATCCAATCAGTTGGCATCTCTGCATTCTGATCCCCCCCGTCGATGCCATTGCCCATTGATTTAACCCTTAAAATAGCCGCCGCTGCCTGAGCCGATGTTGATGGTTGCTCATCATCGACCAGGATAGCATTGATGCTAATTGCATCCATGTTGTTAACGTTGTTGTTGTTGTAGTTATTGATGCTGGCGACGTTGGTATTTATATTGTTGTTGGGCAAATCAAGTGCTGGCATAGCCGTTGAGGACATCAACATCGATGACCGCTGCTGCATCAACTGCTGCTGCTGCTGCCGCAACGCCTGCTGCTCCGCCTCCACCAGCTGCTGCTGCAATTGGCAATACAAAAGAGCCTCCTCCTGCTCCCGCTCCTGTTCGTATTGCTGTTGGTATTGCGCGTATTGCTGCTGTTCGAATTGTTGCTGCAGTTGCTGCTGCTGCTGCTGTTGTTGTTGGTGGTATTGCTCTTCTTGGGTTAGAGTATTATCCAAACCACTATCAACGACGGCGTATTCGGCGGCAGCAGAGTAGCGTACAGGGACAGACATTGTGAGGGCTGGCCTAGTACCTGTATATGGCAAGGTTTTTGTTTTTCTTATATGTATAATAAAACGCAAACGATACAAAAATCCCTTTGCGTTTAGGCCAAATAAATGGGTTGTCCCTTAAACAACTTGTTTGATATGATTTTATTTTCAGCAAAAGCCCAAAACGTAATTTCAAGCCAAGTACTTTTTTCTTTATTTTTTTTTTGCTAAGATATCAGCGAGTGCACTTGAAAAAAAACTAGTGCGCTCTCAATCTGCAGCTCGAAATTAAGACCGAAAATGCAGCGCTTCAGGGACTATATATATGCTTATATAGGCTTTTTATAATAATTATAATCCACTGCTGGCGCAAATGCAACCGAAAATAAAATGAACTGTTTGCTACTTGTGCTGCACACACCGGTTTGAGTATCCCAGAGCCGAAAACAATTAAAGTGTAAAATCGAATACGAGTATTTGATTTTATAGCTCTGTTAATGGCCGCAAAAACCTTAATGCAATTCTTTCAACAATTTGCAAACAGTTAAACAAACAAAACGCCCTCAACAATGAAATGTGCATATATTGACAAAATATAAATATATATCAATATATTAGCGACAAATGTGTGCAGTGTACAAACGACAATAACGATGACAAATTGTGAATATATCTATATATCTATATCATATATTTCTTGTCTATCAGTCAGTCTTAACGTACGCTGTTCTTCAAATGTCTTCTTCTTTTACCAATTTGTGAAAATATTTTTTAAAAATATATATATAATTTCTAGCGTCAATGTGGTTTATTATGTGTTCGCTCAATGCTTGGTACGATAATAAACTCTAGACGCTGAAATTGTTTACAGTGTATTTAGTAGCTCGTTGTAGAACTAATAATGTTGCTTAAATTTTTCCCCGTTGTGAGTGGAAAAATCTCTCTTTTAGCTAAAATATATAAAAACTTACGAGCTGCAAAATTATGCAAGCACATTAAAAAATTATTATTGTAAATAAATAAAAATGTTAACAAAAATGGGTATTTTTTTTAAGTGAACATGCTAAATGTCAAATGAAGTTCATTAATGTCATATTATTGTTATATTGGCAAGAGCATTGCTCTTTGTTGTTTTTTATATGTATTTTGTTTAAAATACTCAACTGTTTACAATGCGTTGAACGAACTTTGATTGAGCGTAAAACTAAGCATAAAACCAAGTGCACAGTGTGGCAGGTGGGCGTAATAAACGGACTTCTGACATTGGAATACATTTGATTTATTTCTGACCTCAAAAAATGTTCACAATTTTATTCAAATCACAAACATGACACAAGGCTGCCTAAGAAGGGGTGGGGGTAGGCGATCGCCGTCTCAAGGCGAACCACTTAAATAGCCTGGTTGTGTATCCAACATTTATAGAAAATTGTCTGAGAATTTAAGACAATATTGACTTCCCTGAGGCATCTACAATGATTGATTTCCGATTTGAAAATTCGTATAAAAAACAAAAACAAGAGCACAAGACAAAAAGCTCAATGCTCGCACTTGAGTAAACAAAGTGGCCGCCATTTTGTTCCAATTCAGCGTTCGCCTTACAGCTAATAATACAAAGACTGCGGCTACGCTGGGATTGAGAGATAACACAGCAGCAGCAAGCAAGAGCAATAATAACAACAGCCAGCACCAGGGCTGGGCCACAGCTCAGGCGAGCTTTCTCTAATGGTTGTGTGCTGGTAATTGTAATAGAGGAAGCGAAAAAAACAAAACATTAAATAATCTAAACACACGAGAGGCTAGCTGATAAATGACATGAAACTAACCAAAGAAAACAAAGTTTCGAAATCTGAGGCTGAGCAGAGCCACTTGAGAGTGTGAGATGCATGTTTATGGCATTGTTGGAAAGATCTGCTGCAATTAACGTATGAAATGTTACTGTATGTAGCAGCGGGATATGGTGTTGAAGACAATTTTGATATTGCCTGCTATTTATAGTTGAATGGGGGATTTTTATTTGTAAACATGCAGCCCTGAAAAACCCATAACAAGTGTTAACAGTCTGTTTCAAAACAGTTGTCATTAACCTGCCTCATGGCAAGCAGCTTAAGACCCCGTTTACAAGGCTGAACATTACAAAGTTAAAAATACCTAAATGAGCTAAATTTCAAGTTCGTTTTAATTTAAGTTAATTTCAATATGTGTTTACTGTATATAAAAGTATATATTATTAACTGAACTTTCGCCAAAAGTCCGACCGACCGACCACACCTTAATCATATTTCGAATATGAATCAGCCGAACCCAACCGATGAGGGCAAAACCAACATATCTGACGCATATACAGAATTAATAAAACTTCAACTCTTTATAAAACACACGAATCATGATATTTTTGACTTCCGTTCACGAAACAAAACAATAAACCCATTTGCTGTAGAGCCAAGTATTTCAATTCAAGGTCGTCAAGCCAAGAAACTAGTTTTTGATAGGCTCCAAGCATGACACTGCAGCCCTGCAATGATGCCATAGAGCTTAAAATCTGACAAGCGACAAACTAACGGCACCAGTCAAAGTTCAACTTTACGCTACGGCGAGCTTTATGCTGCACACAAGGCGAAACAGTGCGAATGAGAGAGTGCGAATGAGCGAGTAGATCAGATAACTGAAGCTTGGAGAGTTGTGCGCATGCGTTTGTGTTGGTTGGTCTGTTAATCTGGATTGTGATGTAAATCCAAAGAGACAAGGGTGTGAGAGAGGCAAACGTTCTATTGATCTCGTTCCAGGCTCATCATTATATATTTCTAAAATATTTTGTCACACATCGTGATATGTATACCCATTTTCCAATTCGATTCGACAGTTTCTAAATCGAATTATTTTTTAAGTTTTTGCTTTTTGGCTTCTTGCGTATATTTTGTTGTTGATCTTTTGGGCAACGAAAAATAAAAAGTGTTACGCGCGCCGCTGACGCAAAGCACGTACACACACGCTTACACTTACACACTGATATGGACACATGTATGTGTGGTAGTTGTATGTGTGTAGTTGTTTTTATTTATACACGAGCTTTACCTAGGCTGCTTCTTGTTGTTATTGTTATTGACTGCTCGAACAACTTGGCCGTTTGCGAGCGCTTGTAAAAATTTCACTTTTTGCCTATTTTTGTAACTGCAAAACACACGTTAAACGAAGACGACCGCGATGGGCGGCAGAGATTGTGAGGGCGTGGTCATGCCTGCTCAGGTGTGAAAAATTAAAATATGTTTGTATGTACATGCATATGCATGCGCATAAATACGCTCATTGTTGTGCACTTTAAACAGAAGGCACCAGCAACGAGTTTACTAACTAAAATAAGTGAGGAGCGCAAGAGAAAGAGTGAGGGAGAGACGCTGCTGATCTTTTGTACATACAAAACACATACAAGTTTTAGAAAACGAAAGTGGCGTCTGTATGTGTGTGTGTTTGTCTATTCTCCGTTGATTTAGTTAAAGTGCACGAAATCAAAACAAAGGCAAGTTAAAAGCTTGCAAAATATTTTCCATCATTTTTATTTGTGTCGCTGTTTAATTAACAGATGCAGACGCACACGCAAGTGCGACAGGGACGTGCATAGTTTCGTACAAACACCTGCACGAGCGAGATAGCATTTGTTATTCAGCAATTTTTGTTTTGTTTTTGCTTTTTCAACGGTTTATTCATTTATCAGCGCTTAATTGATGTTGGGCTGCGTATTTAAAGCTGCTGAAGGTCAACAAATGACAGCCACTTGGAGCTACTGTTCAACAAAAAATGAAGACAGCTTTCGAGTGCGAGCAAACAGTTAACTGCGCCAACAACAGCCATTGCATCAGCTAAAGCCATAGCAGCAGCTCGGGAAGTTTCTGCGTAGCTTGCGTCACGCTGCACGCAGGGGCTTCGAGTCAAACGTGACGCCAAACAGGTACACAGCTGGAGCTGCCCACCCAGCACAAGTTGTGATCCATGACATGTGAATAGGCCACCACATACCCCGTGCTTTGCATATGTAGCAACCAACCCTGTAAAGCTTAAAATAACCAACACGTTGGCAACAACTTTGGCTTTGATGAAATTAACAAACGAAATTGTGCAGCGAGCTGTTAAGGGCCCGCCGACCTGGGTTCAAGAAACCCCCCCCCCCCACACTGCTGCCAACGGCCCAGGAAGCCAAACTGACGTCGCGACGTCCAAAATTTGTTTTCAACCCCAATAGCGCAGCAGCACATACACATACACATACACTCGCACACACATTCACATACACATACAAATACAGATGCATATGTAAATATCAATGGCGGCAGCACAAAGTGCGAAACGCAGACAAAACGGAAACATCAAATGCTGTCCGTTGACAGGACGCAAGCGCAGCAGCTGTCTTATGGCATGAGCCAGGAGATAAATTATTGCATTTCCAATGAAACAAGAGAGGAAACTATTCATTTTGCGTGTAGAGGTATGCCTATGTTTATATAGCCTTAGCGTATGCATATAAACAAAAGAGAAAAACTAAACAAATAATACAAATAAATCTAAACAATTCAACAAACAAAAAAAGATTCCACTATTCGTTATCAAAGTCGCGGGCATTGTGCTCAATTTTCTATTAATTATTTAATGAGCTGAGCTCTTTCTCTTTCGCTCTTTCTCTTCCTTCCTTTAAACATTATTTCTGATTCCAAATTACGCGACTAGCTCCATTCCGTCCCGTTCGCAAGTTCATCTGTCGAACTTTGTCTTCCAATAGTTCTTCACTCTGACGGAATTGCCGTTCACTATCTACGTACGTATTTTATGTGCGGTCTATTGCCTGTCTCGACAATCTATCAACGGACTCGCTTAAATAGCACAGACGAATATATTTGCATTTATATTATCGCCTGACTTATGCACCAAATGCTGACAAAAAAAAACGAGGCAAAGATAGAACAAAAACAACTTTAAGTTTTCATTATCGTCGGACAAAATGAGAAAAATGCATCGAGGCATTCTTGTGTACAGAAATTGCCATGTCAGTCGTGATTTCAACTTTTAAAGTAAATGGTATAAAGGCATTTTGAGAACTCGGCTAGATAAGCCATTATTTAACGAAACTGTGTGTACTTTGTACCAGAATAAAATGAAAACAAACTGGACTACAAGAACTGATAAGCGGGCTTTAAATGTAGTTTTATCAGGGTTTTCAATATTTATGCATGTTTCTTTCCAATCTAAATGGGTAATTTCATTAGATAAAGGTAAAAGCTCGCCGGAAGTGATAATGAGATAAATGTTATTATGGCTAAATTTGACTTTGGGGAAAGCTCTACTAACGAACATCCTGAAGCAAATCAACAGGCATTCAACTTAAAAATGAGTGTCCGCTTTCAATAGTTTCCACTGTAGTCATATCAGTCAGTTTTGTAGCATTCCATGACGTAAACTGAGATAAAACAATTCGATCTTATCGCTCGACAAGAGTATTGACTCATTATCATTTCCAGTATCAATTTCAGTTCCAGTTGCAATTTCATTGCCGCAGGCACAAAATCATTGAATGATAAAATTGGAATGAAGTGCTAGCAGCTGCCAGTGTTGGAAACCAGCAGCTGCATTGGAATTCTTTGGCACCCTCCCAATTGAATTAGAGACGCACCTTCCAAACAAAAATAAAAACAATAAAAAGTAGCAACTATTCAAAAAAGGGGTGGACCCTCGAAAGTCGTTTTGGCTTGGCACGAGCGGACTTCTATTGTGGACAGGGGCAACTCGGATTACCACTATATGCATATCGGGGGGTTGAAAAAGTCTATTTCAACTCCGGCTCCAGACTTGACAATAGATTAACTTTCGCCGTGCTCATTTTAAAATGCTTATTGAGCTCATTTACGCTGAGTTGGTGGTGAATAGATAAAAGCAACGCTCCGCAATTTTGGACTATGCGTCACTTTTTTTTTTTGGGATCGCTGTACCCAATTCAAAAACAGCTGTCCAGTGAAGTTAATTTTTTTGTTGTGCCTTTTAAATGCATTTTTTATTTTTAGGTAGACTCAAGTTTCACTCGAGACTGTCGCGACAGTTGTTGAAAATTTGCCAGGCAAGTAACGGGATATTGAAAAAAAAAATTTTTTTGACTAGTAACCGAAGATACAGGTAGATACATACATAACTGTGCATCACTACAAGTGAAATTTTTGTTGATAGAGAGACGGATTTACGGGCAATTTAAGGGGCGGTTGACGCAGTCAAGATCAAGATGGCTGCTCTGTCTCTCAATCGCTCACTTTTTCTAACAGTTACACACACACACTTACACACCCATAAATGAGCCGAGGAAGCTACAAATCAAATTGCGTACAAGACGCAACAATAAAAAACATATACGAAATGAGCGCCAACGACTCAAAGTCAACAAAAAGACGCTAAAGACGTTGACCAAAGCAAATGTTGAAGATTTCAAATGTAAAAAGAATGTAAAAAGGGGCGTACGTAAATTAAGAAATAAACAAAAACAACGGTATGCAAAGCAAAGCATCACCCACACACACACATATATATATACACACACAAACGAATACAAATTAGTATGTGTAGGAGCCCTTATGAAGGTTATTTGTCCATGACTAAATAAAGAGAAACAAAATTTAAAATATAGCAACATTTTGTGATCGTTGCGACGACACCAACAAATTGAAATCAACAAATATGACCCAGAAAGCAAAAAACGCTGAAGGTGAAATCAAGCAGAGAGAGCGAGAGCAAGCAGAGACCAATAAAAAAATATGTGAGACTTACGATGGGTTTAAATATTTTTAAGACATTGAACACAGTCTTAAAACAAGTTAAAAACTGGCAGACTTTGGGGCATGTAAATATGCGCAAGTATAAATAAATTTTTTCAATTGGCTGACGCAATTTTTGAGCTTGCACTCACACACAGAAAACATACATTCGTATTGGTGTAAGAATACAAAGCAAAAACCAAATGGGAACACGAACATAACACACACAGAAAAAACTCTTTGTTTGCGCATTGTGAGAGTATATGTTGACAGAGAGAGAGAGAGAGAAACGAGCGATACGATTTGGAACTGAAACACTGCCATAATTGTTGGAGCTCTCGCTCTGTTTGTCGATAACAATAAAAGACAATACAAAAAAACCATTGCAGTCGAACTGCAAACAGTATAAGGTTAATTCAATATGCAGAGAATCCATATGTGCTAATTAAAAAAATGTTATATAGCACAACTGATGTGCGTAATTGTTTGGATAACTGTACTACTACTGAGATACAAGCATAGCTTCTCTCACGTCTCTCTCGCCAACAACCTATGAATAGCTGCTCCACTGTGCCCCCCCCCCCCCCTGCCAACAAACACACACACACACAATATAACGCATATAGGAACGTGAAAGCGAACACACATACACATATACTTTTATGCTCGAACAGCTGGGAAACGGACTGAGAGTTGAAACAAACACGTAAATTGTTTCTACAATTTTTTTTCTTCATAGTTGCTTTGCATTCATACAAATGCATATACAAATGTACTTATGTATAAGTGCAAATGTACATACATATACACACTCTATTAAAAACAATTGACTAAGGAACATTAAATAGGCCTTTTTTCTGATTTAACGCAATGAAATTTTTGTAATTTTATATAAGTAATGCTTACATTGTTACAGCCATTTTGTTGTTTTTATGTTGCGCAGGAATGTTTCGAGATGAATTAGTTACTTGAGAATCTTGGCGAAAATTGTTTTATTGCACTTTGAAAAATAAGTGTACAGTTGGAGTTGTCGTTTGGTTCTTTATTTCTATGCTAAGTTTTTCTTTTAACTAATTTGTACTGCAAAAATGTATCACAGTGAAATTGTTGTTGTTGTTTTTGTCAGAGTCTCTCGTTTAAGCCAACATTTTTCATGTTCTTTGCAAACAGTTAGTGGATCGATTTTTCCCACGCACTAGTTTAAAAGTGGTAGGTTTTTCCCATCAGCTGCACATCTTTGCTGTTATTTTGTGGACTTTGCTACTTTACTATTTTATGTTAAATATACATTTGATCTTGCATGTAATAAATTTAAATTCAAATTATACACAATTTTTTATGCAAAATCACACACATACATTCAAGAACAAACACACGCGCTCTATTACAGTCCAAACGGTACTTTGCTTTGTTGCTTCCAAATGTAAACTGACGTTTCAAAAAGAGGAGAAAAACAGACTTAGGCAACAGAACGGGCATGTTGCCTCACTCGTTCAAATGTTGCCTCACTTGTGTTGCTACGAATTCTACGTGTTGGAAGAGAGATAATGTTGCTTGCTCGTGTTGAGACACTTGTGTACAAGAGCGCGTATGTTGACTTGCAATTTGGTATTTAAATACCGCAAACTTGCCTAAATACGTACTTTTATATACATATTGCCACTTGTTAGGTGGTTGTTTGAAATTTTCTTGGTACTGGCAATCCTGCATTAGAAACTACGTTGGGTGGCAGCCTATTAAAAGCGCGGTTCTTTTAAATTAATTATGCAGTCACAAGTGTAAATTAAAAGAAATACTGATTAAGCATACTGTCCATTTCACAAACTATTGTAAATGACTATAAATATAATTCACATATGACTACATAATACATACAGATCTATCTCCATCCAATCTTTCAACTTCTCAATTTTCCCTGATACAACGTTGAACATCTTTGCGACGTATTTTTATGTTTATAATTTTCACTGCTATTGAGAAAAGTGAAAATCTTTTTTATTTAAGCTGTTGCTAAGCGATTTATTGAATGAACTAGCGAGGTTGGGGAGAAGGGAATTTGCTATTCCACATACGCACACACACATGCACGTTCACACATACTCTTGTGTGTGCGTGCTTCCAGAAACTTGCAGCAACAAGCTACATATACAGTTAAAAACTGTATTTGCACCGCATTCGAATGAACAAATGCAATCTGCGAAGCAATGTAAATTGATATTTCAATAGCAATCCGTTTAAAAGACGTATTTCAAAGTAAAATAAGAAATAACCTCCGTTTTAGATTTCGTCACAGACACACACACACACACACACACACACGCATTCTTATTGGAAGAAACGCGTGGCGCAGGGCACTTGCAAACTCAGTTAAGTTAACGCCAACAAAGTCGTTCTTCGCATTAAAACACAGTTAACTATTATGTTACATGAGTAATTAAACACTTTTTTAAATAACTTACCCGGATGCCTCTGCGTTTTAATCAGTATTTGTCTTCTTTTTTATGAACTGCGACACGACCAAATATATGTAAATATCTAAATGAAATGAGCTAGCATAGGGCTGGCAAGCAGTGATTCAGTTCTTTAGATTCGGTTCCGAACTAGTGCGAGCGAGTGAACCAATTGTCTCGCTCAAAATGAATGAATGAGTTTAAAGTTATGTGTTAAATTGTTAAATTGTTGTTTAATTTTAAGCCAAAATGCTCTGTTTTAATTGATTTTAAAATGGTGGAAGACTTTGATAATACTTTTATTATGATCAAAGGATAACAGCTTTATGAATGTTAATGTTAATGGCCACTGTTACTCGTATACATGGTATTTTAAATGCTATAAATAGATAAAGGCGTGATAACCTGATCAATCTTTTGTTATTCTCAAGTTGATTGCCGAAGTGTGTAGCGGTATTATTTGCAATAAAAAAGAAAAGAAAAATTAGCTTTAAGGAACAACCAAAAGGTTTCGCCACGAAGGCTATACACGTTGGCCAGGATCCGGAGCAGTGGCAGAGCGCCTGTGTTATACCGCCCATCGTCACGAGCACGACTTTTAAACAGGATGCGCCCGGCGAACATCGCGGATATTCCTACTCGCGAGGTGGCAACCCCACGCGCAATGTCCTGCAGCAGTGCCTGGCCGCACTGGATAATGCCAAGTACGGCCTGACCTTTTCCTCAGGGCTGGGCGCAACAACCGCTGTCCTGGCCATGCTCAGTCGTGGCGATCATATCGTAATGGGCGATGACGTTTACGGTGGAACAAATCGACTAATACGCCAGGTGGCAACACGTTTTGGTCTAACGGTCACTTTTGTGGATGCCACCAATTTGGAGAGTTTTAGAGCAGCCTTCAAACCGGAGACAAAGCTGGTTTGGCTGGAGTCCCCAACGAATCCCTTGATTAAAGTGGCTGATATAAAGGCTTTAGTTAAGATTTGTCGTGAAGTGAGCAGCGAAGTTATTATTGCTGTGGATAATACCTTTCTAACCTCTTACTTCCAAAGACCCCTCGAGCTGGGCGCCGATTTGGTCTGCTATTCCCTGACCAAATACATGAATGGCCACACGGATGTTGTCATGGGCGGTATCACAATGAATTGCGATAAGCTACATGACAGCTTGAAATTTTTGCAAAATTCGTTGGGCATTGTGCCCTCTCCCTTCGACTGTTACCAGGTGAATCGCAGTTTGAAGACCTTATCTCTGCGCATGGAACAGCACCAGGCGAACGCACTGCAAGTGGCCAAATTTTTGGAATCACATGATTTTGTGGAGCAGGTCCTGCATCCGGGCCTGCCCTCTCATCCCCAGCACCAGATAGCTCTTGCCCAAACCTATGGCTACAGTGGTGTCTTTTCCTTCTACATCAAGGGTAGTCTCAAACATTCAACGGCATTCCTGAAGGCTCTCAAGGTGTTTACCCTAGCCGAGAGCCTTGGTGGTTACGAGAGTCTCGCCGAATTGCCTTCGATTATGACGCATGCCTCGGTGCCCGCTGAGGATCGCAAGACCTTGGGCATTACGGATGCCCTTATACGCCTGTCGGTGGGCTTGGAAGACGCTGAAGATTTAATAGATGATATTAAAAATGCTTTGGATGTAGCAGCTAAAGCTTAATTACTTCAAATTCAGCTAAAAACTGTTCCCTGTTCCCTAAATGAATAAAATATTTGTATATTTATTTATTTGTTGCACTAATATCTTTCGTCTGCTTTGGGAATTGTTTTTAAGCAATTATGGATCGATTGTTATTATGGAAACTATATGATGAGCAGCGATATTAAACTATAAACAATTTTCTTTTTACATTACTCTGATGCCGATCTTAAATAATATATGTTGGGAGCGTAGTTATTAATTATCGAATTAAGTCTAGATATTTTAACAAAAAAAAAACAGACTTTTTGATGCTATATAAGTATTTCGACATATTTGCCGCTTACAAAAGTCAGGATGTATAAAATTTGAAAACTTGATCAATTGGCTTGCTTAAAAATGGAAGAACCCAGCTATATATATGGGTTCGGTTGTTGATATAGGTCCAGAATATATATATATATATATTATAATATTCAAAGCGTTACACATTTCTTGATAAAATACTAGGGCTTTGCAACTGATCAGGTTGCTATATAAACTAAACAAGTTGATATGCTATTTGTTTTGAGACTGGGTATGTAGCTAACGTACATACATATTTATATGTATATAGTAAATATTGTATATAGTTAATATTGTATATAGATGCACATATATATATATATCATATGATAGACAAGACTAGCTTGGTGCTTAATTTCTAAGAATCTATAAGCTACTCAGTTTACTGTGCGCTATAATGTGGTCCCGGCGTGGGGACGCTCTTGAGGGGCGAATCAAAGTCAATTGGGGGCTGGTCAAGAATGGGAGTCTCTGGCGCCACGGCTGTGCCGATGCGCTCCTGCAGCGTCTCGTAGAGCTTGTGGATGTGCTCGTTGTGTGCCGTGGTTGGCTGCATGGCCTTCATCAGTGTCGCCAGGCGTCCAACGGGCAGCTTGTTATAGACATACCACAGCAGCTTCAGCATGTGGCGCGAGGTGACATTCTCGCGTGTCAAGCCCGCAAATATAAACTCATCGAAGAGTGTGGTGCAAAAGTCCTCGGTGGCGAACTCCTCGCTCATGGGTATGAGCAGGGCAATTAGCGAGTGCAGGAAGGGATCCTCATAGGCGCGATCATCCTTGCAGGAGGACAGTATAGCCAAGACGCGCAGCACACCGACGCGATCCTTGACGCGAGCCGTGTGCAGCGTATAGTACATGGCCAGAATACTGGCCACCGAGCTCTCCTGTATGTAGGCCTCCACGGCATCTGGCGCGGGGCCCGAATGCTCAATGGTAGTCAATGCGGATTCGCGTTCATCGGGTGGCAGTTTGGCGTGCAGGCTACGGCACTGATCGTCCACCATGAGCGACATCAGAGCCGGCAGAAACTTGGTCACCACCTGGTTGTCCAGTTTGGGCTCCTTGAAGTCCTGCGAATCGATCATGACCCAGGCGCTTAGTCCCAGCGCCAGCATGCGCAACAATAGAATCAAAATTTGATTATCCCGCGGCATGCCCTCGTTGTTGATCAGATGCTGCAGTATCTTGATGGCCGAGGTGGCCAGAAAATTAATGGCATATGGATCGCACAGTGTCATGGACAGATCGCCCAGCACCTGCTCCTGGCCGCGCTTGATGTTATCTAGAAAACCCTGCAGTTCACGCGAGCGTTTAATATCCACATTCTTCTCGCGTATACAGGCGTCTAGGCACCAGGTAAACTTGTGGCACGGATCAATCGATATGATCTCCTGTACCTCCAGATCGTGCAGTGCCATCAGCAGCTCCGCGCGCAGCGTACAATAGTGGACATTGCGTGTGCGTAGAAAGAGTGTGCGCAGAAACTGCAGCACCATGTCATACAGCTTGACGCTGTTGCCGATCATATTTGCCAGCTTTTGGACAACCTCGCCCTGCCGGCGCACCTTAGGCGTCGGCTGGAAAAACAAATTATTTAGATTGGTATGATCAAACAGGATGTGCTCCTTTTCGCGTATATATTGCGATAGGAGCGGCGACACCTCATCACCGAACAGCGATTGATTATCGCGCCAAATCTGGCGCTTCACCTCGGTGTCCGTGTCCGCATAGAGTTCCCGGTCGCGCATCAAAATGCGCAAATACTTGTCATCGATGTGCTGGGTATTCCGGAGTATGGCCATTACGACGGGTCGCAAATACTTCACGCGCACCACGGGAAAACTCTTGACCAGCAGCTCCTTCAGTTTCTTTTCGCGCTCGCGCGGATCCTTCTGTCCCAGTTCGTTAATATGCGCAATTAACTTGTCGCGCAGCTCCTCCATCAGCGAGGTGTGAAAGTCCAGACGACGCACTCCATGCAAATCCAGCAGCGGCAGCATCGGACGCAGAGATGGCAACAGGACGCCATTCTCCAGCTGGAAGCTCTCGATGGCTTTCAGTGGATCCGTGCATGAGGTGAGCGCTTCGCGTAGAAATGCCTGACCCGGAATGTTCACATCTTCCAAGCCAGTGCCAGTGTTTTTAGCAGGCGTGCTCATTTTATCGAAAAAAATATGTTTAGCCTCTTTTCGTCAATGGCAACAGCTTGAAGAATAATTTAGACCAGGGCTGCACTAAACAACAAAAAGCGATGGGCATTATTCAAGGTGCGCAATTGAGATGGGCGCACGAAATTCAGAGTATGTGTATATTTTCATTTCTTTCCATTCCATTCTTTTTTTTTATCTTATGTATATATGTATATATTTTTAATTTATTTTTGTATATGTAAACATATTTTTTGGGTTTTCTCTTTAACACAATCACGTCGTGCTGAGATGTGCGTGCTTGTATAACGATATAAAACACGATACGCCCCCAACACTAAATCGCACACAAGCAAAACCAGTATTTAAATCTTATTAAATGTTTTCTTATGATGGTAAAGTGTTATATATATTTAAAAAGCATATTTACGTGCAGAAATATAAATATAATTATTTCAATGATATTAATTACTAGTTTCATTTTTTATGTGTGCTCATATCCTAGCTATTATGATACGTTACTTGTAACAAGTAACTGTTACACATATAAAAACCACACATCTCTAGAAAGAGCACAAGCATAGAAAAGCAAATTGGGTGGAAAACTGGCTATGGATGTACGGAAAATTATTAAGTGCATTTTTGGTGCCGATTATTAAAAACGCTGCAACTAAAATAAATTACAAATAGTGCAAAAATACAAAAACAAAATCGCAAACAAAAACAACAGCTCGCTAATTGCGCGTGAGAGTGTGTGTCTGCGTCTGTTGCTGCTGCTGCCGGACGTTTAGCTAAAGAAGTAGCAAGAGCAGCGGAGCGGAGAGCAAGGGAGAAGAAGAAGCAGCACTCCTAGTCGCAAAGAAAAGCCTTGCTGTTGCCATAATTACGGCAGCTTTGTGGGAGTTCAAGTTTAATAGCGCGCGCCTCTGTGTGTGTGCGTGCGTGAGTGCAAGCATTTTCAATGTGTGCGTAACACCCCCAAAGGCGCTCTCTTTGGCACAAACTGTTGTAAAGTTACAACAACAACAACAACAATAACTGCTTGGAAGCAGTAACAAGGGGGAGAGAGAGACTGGACGTTCGCTGACTTGCCGTTTGTTTTGTGCGCACATTCGCGTGCTTCTCTTTGTTTCGGCTGGTCGCTGCGTTTTTTTTTTATTTGTTATTTTGTGTGCAACGCTTGCGGCGACAGCTTCGCTTTGTGGCCATCAGCTGGATACGGATTTTGTGACGGCGGCGACACCAACAACGCCGAAGTGGATGCACATGCACGCGGTGGCCTGGGCATTGCCCAGGACTTTGGCATGGCCGGACCGGCCGCTGGTCCGCCGGCACATATGTACGGCGCCATAGCGCAACAGGACAGTAAGTGGACCCCATTATTTACCCCTGACTATGATCTGCTTTAACACTTCCTCTCTATGTTCCCCCCTCTCATAGTAATTGTCCGAGACATGGTTCAAATGCCGCCACCGCCGCCCTCGAATGCGCCCACCTCAGCGGATGCCTGCCTGAGCATTGTCCATTCGCTGATGTGCCATCGGCAGGGCGGGGAGAGCGAGGGCTTTGCCAAGCGCGCCATCGAGTCGCTCGTTAAGAAGCTAAAGGAGAAGCGCGACGAATTGGATTCGCTGATAACGGCAATTACCACTAACGGCGCCCATCCAAGCAAATGCGTCACCATACAGCGCACGCTCGACGGCCGACTGCAGGTGAGCGTCAGCGTCAGCGGCGGCGTCAGCTTCAGTTTCAGCTACGCCTCTTATCGCCCCGCACTGTGTGGGGTCTATATGTTACAATACCCTGCACCCATTGTAAATGTGTAAATAGAGTATATTGGAACTTGTACCAATGTTTATAGCAGGGATAGGAAATCAACTCGTACAGAAATTATTATACGGAGGAAGAAGCCCCAACTTATTTAATTCTATAAATTTCGATTTGATTTAATACAGCAAAAACAAGGTTTGATTAGTCATCAAATAAGTTAGATAAGTCATCAAATTCGTCAATAATTATAAGCATCGATTTGCAGTCTAGATTTTTAGAGCGTATCGTGAACAATTGACTAGCTAGAGACAATTAATAGAGTACTTTCATTTTTTGCCAAACATTTTTTGATAATTTTCAATCTTCATAGCCGTACTGAGTTGTTATTCGAGTAAAAAAGTAGGGTACAGGGTATCTCGTAGTCTTGCACTCTAGATTAGTGCACTTTATTTGTTTTGTTTGTTTACGTTGTGGCATTTCCGGTTGCGATATGCGACGCGTACGTGTGTTTACTATTCGATTTTAATTTAATTTTTTCGTTTCACGTTCTCTTCCTCTTTGGCGGACTGCAGGTTGCCGGTCGCAAGGGCTTTCCTCATGTGATCTATGCGCGCATCTGGCGCTGGCCAGATCTGCACAAGAACGAGCTGAAGCATGTCAAATACTGCGCCTTTGCTTTCGATCTCAAGTGCGACTCGGTGTGCGTGAATCCCTACCACTACGAGCGCGTCGTCTCGCCGGGCATCGATCTGTCCGGGCTGAGCCTGCAGTCGGGCCCCAGTCGCCTGGTCAAAGATGAATACTCAGCTGGCTCTCTGGTTGGCAGCATGGACATCGATGGCAACGACATTGGCACCATACAACATCATCCAACGCAGATGGTCGGCCCGGGTGGCTATGGCTATCCGCCACAGGGACCCGGGCCCGGTGAGTACGGTATGCCCAGACATTATAGTTGTGTATTAAAGTTGACATTGTGGAGTCCACGAATTATATATATTTTTGATTTCTATCGACAGTCGACTCGATATGGACTTGTCCGTCTGTCTGTTCTTCTTCTATATTGCATATCTTTTTCAGCAAGGATCGCTCGAAAATGAAGATCTTGTATGAACAAGTATATTGTTTTTCAAGATTACTTTCAAGATATCTCAAGTCCGTCATTTAATAGTTTCCATATGCCCAAATCTTACCAACATGGGACTTCTATATAACAGTTCCGTAGTAAAAATCGGTCGAAAAAAATGATACGAGCTTTACAATTCTCCTAGTATGTCATGTGTCTACAAGGGTCTTTAATCTTCGGCGCGCCGAGTGAAGTTTGCGGTTCTGTTTTGCTAATATATTGGTTTTGCCAGAAATCGTGTTACCTTATAGATATGTACAAATATGATTTGATGTTGCTTGATTTTCGTTTAATTTTGATTTTGCCTGATTTGCGATGTTTTTTTTTATCTTTTGTTGATTTTGTAGTTCCCGATGCTAATCAAATGAGTGCAATGTTTGCTGCCGGGCGCGCAATACCAAAAATTGAGCCAACGGACAGTGCCGGGCCAGTGCGTAGCTCGTGGATGTTGCGGCATCCGCCGACGCCGTTGAGCCAGGCTGCCCAGCAGCAACAGCAGCAGCAGGCGGCGTCACAGCAGCAGCCACAAACCCAATCCCAGCCAGCGCCGCACACTCTTTGTAAGCGTTTTTCTTTTGTTCAGTAATTTTGGATATCTATGCGGGACTAGCTTATTGAATCTCAAGCTTCTATTTACATTGTGTTTCAATATTCATTACAGCCGTACCTCATGGCATGCCGGGCATGGGCGCCATGAATCCCGGCCCCGGTCCAGTTATGGCGCCGCCACCCCCGCCCACACAAGCACAGAGCACACAAGGCAATGGCGTGCATCATGCCCAAGCCAGCTCACCCACAGATCCTGCCACGCTGGCCATGCAGCAACAGCAGCAGCAGCAACAGCAACCACCGCCGGGTGGCGGGGGACCCAATGGCCAGAGCGTTGCTAGCAACTCGAGTGGAGCTGCTGGCAGCGCTGGTCAGTACTATGGAGCGCCGCCAACAGGCGCTCAAATGCAGAACGTGGGCAACGATGTGGGCAAGTTTAGCGGCAACGCCAGCAGCGGCTCGGGACCAGCCGCTGTGCATGCCCAGCAACAGAATGGCTATGTGCCGCAGTCAAGCGGTCAGGGCACAGGCGCTAGCAGCTATGGCTCAACTCAGACGCCGTCCGCACAGCAACAGGCGACAGCCGGTAGCCAGCCCAATGCTGGCGGCGCTGCACAAGCCAGTGGTGGTGGTGGTGGTGCCGCAGGCACTTGGACCGGACCCAATACACTTACCTACACACAGTCCATGCAGCCGCCAGATCCGCGCTCATTGCCCGGTAGCTACTGTAAGTTGGCGTGATGAAACCCTTTAGCTTCTTTAATTGCTAAACATTTATGCATTTTTAGGGAACTCGCCGCTGCCTGGTGACCTGGCCTCGCCGCAACAGGCGCCTCCACAGCAGCAGCAACAGCAACAACAGCGCTTGCTCTCTCGCCAACCTGCGCCGGAATATTGGTGCTCCATAGCATATTTTGAGCTGGACACTCAAGTGGGTGAGACATTTAAAGTGCCCTCGGCTAAACCGAATGTCATCATAGACGGCTATGTGGATCCGTCGGGCGGAAATCGTTTCTGTCTGGGCGCGCTGAGCAATGTGCATCGCACCGAGCAATCGGAGCGGGCCAGGTGAGCAGAGCTATTCTAGCTCCTCTTGCTGTATATGCTTATGCCGATATTAAAACCGTTTCGCCATTTTTAGACTGCATATAGGCAAGGGTGTGCAATTGGATCTGCGCGGCGAGGGTGATGTCTGGCTGCGCTGCCTCAGCGACAATTCGGTGTTCGTACAAAGCTATTATCTGGATCGCGAGGCGGGACGTACGCCGGGCGATGCAGTGCACAAAATATACCCAGCCGCTTGCATAAAAGTAAATGCTAAACAAAAACGAATTCAAGACTTTAATTTGTAACTAACCGAATCACGTTTTCTGTAGGTCTTCGACTTGCGTCAATGCCATCAGCAGATGCATTCGCTGGCCACCAATGCACAGGCCGCTGCTGCAGCGCAAGCAGCTGCCGTCGCGGGCGTCTCCAACCAACAAATGGGCGGCGGCGGCAGAAGTAAGCTGAATGGGTTATATTAGTACATAATTGGAAACTTATTTATATATATGTATATCTATTTGTATTGTAGGCATCACCGCTGCCGCTGGCATTGGTGTGGATGATCTGCGTCGCCTGTGCATATTGCGGCTTAGCTTTGTGAAGGGCTGGGGACCTGATTATCCGCGTCAATCCATTAAAGAGACGCCCTGCTGGATAGAAGTGCATTTGCATCGTGCACTGCAGCTGCTCGACGAGGTGCTGCATGCTATGCCCATCGATGGAGCCGCTGCCTAAAAAAAATCGCGCTTCCCAAACCGACCATATATACACACATCCACATACACACACACGCACACACGCAAAAGCATATTTATTATTCATAGCAAGAAGCACACCACGTCTAAATGTTAGTTTTAAGGATAAAAATTTGAGCAGCTATCGTTAAGTTAAGCAAAGTGCAAACAAAGAAAAATGAGGATATGAAATATTTAGTTTTGATTTGCAATTACAATTATGTTTGCCTTTAATTATTTAATAATAATTTTTATAAAAAATTGAAACACCACGCTGTAAAACGTTAAGTCAACTAGTTTTATGTATCATACAGACAGCCACATATATATACATATAAATTTGATAACTCGAGTTGGGCTGCATTTCATGCAATGCCCTTTCTGCCACACACAAACACATACACACAGCATTACTTACGCAACGACTACAGCCAGAGCAAAGATAGAATGCAATATCTTAAAGGCAAAGTAGTTGTAATATAAATGTAATAAACAGAACATTAACTAAGTGTACATCATTTTCAAGCACCATCATATTTCTCAGTTCTTAGCTGCACCTGATCATCCAGCCAGGACAGCCAGTCGTCTGTTATGGGCCGCTCTAGGGTCACCTCGTGGAATACCTCCACGCGTCGCACCTCGGAAAACTGAAATCTCTCGAAGAGGCGCAACGATATTGCATTATCCATGTCGATCTTGGCTTCGAATTTGGTCACGGGTAGTTGCTGCTGGGCGTACTTGAACATAAGTAGCATAGCCTCGCGACCATATCCTTTGCCGCGCGCCTCGGGTGCTGCGATCATAATTTCCGCCTCTGCCACATATTGCTGCGACTCCTCATCGTGGCGCACAAAGAGATTTGTGTCGCCCACCATAGCGGCTATCTCATCGTTAGTCTTGTTATAGATATCAGCGCAAAGGACAATAAATGTGAGCTTATCATCGTCCTGGCGCCAGCTCTGCTGCATTGCGTATTCCTCGTCTAAGGTGAGCTCATCCGAGGCGGTCAGGCTACGCAGCGTGGGACTGCTCATCCATTGATGATACTTGGGTACATGCCGGGCCTCGTAGGGCACCAGAATGACACGCTGCCCAAGCAGTTTTGTGTGCTCATTTACGCGCATGGGATCGAAAATAACACCAAAAATAATTCAAATGCAGTAAGGGTCCCTAATAGAGATGGCAGTTGGGCAGCCTAATATCGATAGACAGTAACTCATTTCAGATTTGAGCAGATTTCAGCGGGTTTTCTTCTATGATTGGACATAAATTAAATTTTCAAATATATTATAACTGATTTATACGTACTTACCCTGATATAGACATACATCTTTCTAAAAAGTTATGATTTTATATAAAACAGCTGAGCGTATATTGAATGTGCATATCGATATTCACAGAAGTCGTGGCGTTGCCAGATAACATAAACAGCTGACTCCCGCGAACGACGCGAATTGTTAAGGGAAATAAGTAAATATCTCGTTTGATTTGGAAAATGATTTAAAAAATGTCGACGCGCTGTCGTACCTGTGGCAAGATTATTTATTGTCTAAACTCAAAGAATTTATTTCAACAGCCCGACAACATCATGCTACACCAAATTGCAGCTCTAACTGGAATTTTTGTTAGTATGCAATTCAACAATATCAAGTGCAAATATTTAAAAAGCATCTTGTATTATTTGTAGCTACCAGAGCATATGGAATTTCCTGAACATATTTGCGGACCCTGCGAAGTAGCGCTACGAGAAGCCATCGTATTTCGTGAACGCATTATAAAAACACAAAAGCTTCTTTTAAATAGCGACAACATTGCGGATGCGTTTCAAAAAATTGACACGGATGAAGTGGACAAGCTAAATCTAGAGATGGATGGTGAAGAGATGGAGCTATATAACTCATATGAGGAGATTACAGAATATGAGTGTGACGAATATGATAGCTCGGAAGATGCAGAGGAGGGAAATGAAGATTTGTCAGTGAATGGTCAATCCGACGAGTCCGTGCAGAACATAAAGACTGATGAGCCAACTACAGAACCGCCTGCAAATGCGCCTCCTCCAATGCCAAATACGCCACGCCGACCGGGCAAACCACCTTCCAAACTCTATGCAACGGTCAACTTTGCGACAAACGCTAGGAACACGCCGCGCATAAACTGGAGCAAGCTGTCGGAGGATGAAATCGTGGCACTTAAGCGTGAACGCCGCAAGCGTGACTGCATTTGCGAGCTGTGCGGCAGACATTTTACCTGCCCCAGCAACTTTAAGGTGCATCTGCTGCGACACACTGGTGTTAAAAACTTCTCCTGCAAGCAGTGCCCCCTGAAGTTCTACACGCCGCACTTGCTGCGGCGCCACGAGCTGGCGCATCTCTGTGAGAAACCGTATCCCTGCCAGTACTGTGGCCAAACATTTGCCGATCACAGCGGACGCATTCAGCACGAGCGCAAGTATGTGACCAAAAATATTGGCCAATTTATTCCATATGTCTAATAATGCGCCCATTTTACAGCCGCCATACGAATTATCGGCCATATAAATGCACCAAATGTGACAAGGCCTTTGTGGTCAGCAACAAGCTTAAGAGGCACATGCTCAGCCATTCCGGCGTGCGTAGTTTTCAGTGAGTATAAGATAAATAACAGATGAAAACCCAAAGAAAACTCCTTGGTTTTGTTCACAATTCGAATGCTACGTCTTTAAAATCGATTCATGAACCTAGATATTTTCCATTCATTAGACCCATGTTTTGAATGTAATCTTTCCTTCGTCACATTGTTTGTAATTTGACTATTTTATTTTGAAACTATTTGACTTTCCTCCTAAATTGTGCAAATATCTATAAATATCCACAGATTATTTTCTTAACAAGTCTTTTTGACAAATGGTTCATTTCAAGGTTCGTTCGTAAAGTAATTTTAGATTCGAAACGTTTGGGTTAAAAATCAGTTTGCAGTCTTGATGCTAAGGTTTCCGACACATTTATATTAAAATGCTTAAATTCTGTTTATCTATTTCAGCTGCGAAATATGCAAAGTATCTTTCATGCGACGCCCACACTTAAATGCCCATTATCGTTCAAAGGGCCACGAACAGAATGCACAAAATTACGCTGATTTGGCCAACAATGTGGACATCGATATAGAAAATGTGTTACAATAAAATCGGTAATTAAGCGTACTTAGTTTGTAAGTCGTTTTAAGGAGCAATGATTTTGTTTAAGCTTATTTTAAGGGACATATGTCAATGGTGTCACAAAAGGGCAGTTCATATAATAACTATGTGCAGATCCTTGCCATTTGAGACCTAAGCATCAATTTTAAATGCGGCTAATTAACTCACTGTATGTTAGTTCTTATTATGATTGTTTGTTCCACTTGAAAATATCTGATAAAACAAATTACTACAAAATTCACAAATATTTAAGATTATTATTTTTCGAATCTCTGTATGTGACTGCGAGACAGTGAGATGTGAAGTATTGTCATGCATCTATATATACTTGCAACAAAAACGATTGTCCGTCATAGTGCTTTAACTTAAGCTTTCGTATACCTCATAGAATATATATTCTCTATTTCTACGAATTTACGTATATTTGATTATAGCACTGTTCTTCTTTTTATATCTCGTTCCTTAAAAAGTTCTTTTCATAGGTAATTATCTTGCTTCATATATCTCATCTTAATAATTATTTGAGTGCATGAGTGCATTTTGTGACCACTGCAAGGGTTTTTAAATCTATTAAAGAAGCATTCGTCGTCGTCCTGCTTTGATTGATACTTATATAGAAAATTTTGTATTGGAGATCATAAAGCGTAGCACACATAGTTTTTAAGTCGATGATATTTATAGATATATGTATATATATATACATATTCGTGTACATTTAAAGTAAACCAAAACTTAAAAGTTGCACTTGCAAAATGGATTCCCTACACATTATGGATATGCCCGACGAGTGCCTGCTGATGGTGTTCCAGCAATTGGATGTGATGAGTCAGTGCAGCTTTGCGTTTACCTGTCAGCGCTTTATGAGTATCTACGAAATGGTGCACAGGCAACATTTTCGCTGTTTCACTTGGTTCGAGCCTACGAACAATTGGACCGCGCAGCAGATTGAGGCATTTTTCAGGCTGAATGGCCACAAAATGCGTATGTTGTCTGTATCGGATTTGCATGACAAATATTTTGAGAAGCCGCTGCTTAGCAAGGCCAATCATATGATAAACGTTTGCGTGTATCTCAAAAACCTGCGCTCACTGATACTATGCATTGACCATAAGCTGCCCGATATAATTATTGAAGTTTGTAAACATTTGCACAAGCTGGAGAATCTGGTTATTGATTGTGCCAGTCATCCGAATTATGAATTTTTGGTTTTGTTGCGGCGTCTAAAAAGTTTGGATATTGAATATTTTGTTAATCCACGTGACAAGCTATTCCAAAGATTTGCCGAGCTGCGTCCGGATGCTTTGGAGCATTTACGCATTGGTTCGGAAATAACAATGAAGCAGGGCAAGCATATTGCTCATCTGCGTGGCCTTACGCTCCTCAACATTTACAATCCTTGCTATCATTTCGTTAACGGTGTCGTCCTGCAGTTGGCCAATTTGCGAGTCCTTAGCATAACATCTGCTCAGCAATTGCGAGACCATGATTTTCGGCATTTGATCATGCATCTTAAGTTCCTGGCTACGCTATATGTCATTCAATGCACGGATCTGGGTAACGATTTTATATTCTTTATCATCCAGCACTTAAAGGTGGATGAAATGCTGTCTTCCAATTGTCGTCGCTTGCCATTTCATTTGGAGCTATCCGGCACGTGTGTAACAGAGGATATTAACGAGGTACTGTGAATATGTAAAGTATATATGTATGTACATTAAATGCTTATAGCACTGTTATTCGTTACAGATTGAGCCCGTTAACTCATCACATTCCATACTTAATGTTGTTTTGGTAGGTAATTAACCTTGCTTAATAACTTCATATTTATCTCAATTTGAATCATGAGCACTCTATCGATAAGTAATTAAACAGTCGAAGCGGAACAAGGAAATTTGAGCAGGGTGGCAGCTCAGTAAACCTAACGTTCGTCCGTTTTTTGACAAAATGTATGAGAGTAGCCAAAGTCGAGGCATTTTACATATTATTTAAAAAACATTTTATATATTTTGTACGAGCGGTCAATAAGCTGCTATCAATAAAAACAGCCCCTATTGATTATTTTGATGTCATTTGAATTCTAAGCACGGCGAAATTTTAGCGATTTTACAGCACCGTAAACAGATAGATGTTTACTGACATATCTGATGCATTTTAAGCACATAAATATATGAATAAAAACACAGTGAGTCAAAATAAATACCTTTTGCCTTAAATGCAGCTTCTAAAACGGCTAAGAGAAACGCAACAACTTAAAAAATACAGAGTAACTATGACTTGCAATGGATTTAATAACACGTGTGAAGAAAGGATAAAAATGTTAGCTGAAATCCGTAAGCTGGTGGTAAAATCTACATTTGAATTAAAAATTTGAATTGACTCACAGCCGATGAGCAGGGAAATTAAAGCGATGTGGCAACGCTCCGAAGCTGTTAAACAGCTGATCTCTTTTTACAAAATGTCTGAGCGTGGCCATTGCCGAGGCATTTTATACGTATAACTGTTTTTTTTTTATATTTATTATACATTTTATTAGTACATAATGCAAATAAAAACCATTATAAATATAAATACAGTGTGTCAGGCTAAGCAACTTTTGCCTTGGTGTTTTGTTTAGCACAGAACCCATTGCAAAAGCAGCTGCTAAAACGTAGCCGGCTAAAAAATTACAACACCAAGCAGAAAACGTGTTATGCTGATGCATGCTCTAATTATGTTGTGAAGTGCGTTTGAAACACGAGTAGAGAGGAGCTTCTCGAAAGCGAACCCCCTCGACGACAAAGCGAGCGATTGGGTTTTCTAGCTTAACCAATGTGGCACTTCCAATGAAAAATCAATTCGAAATCGTTGGATGTTCTCAGTATTGGTTATTGGCCAGAAGAACCCAAACACAGCTATAAGAAACCAAAAATAAAATAAAGAACAAAAGACACCTAACAAAATAGCATAAGTTTTAAGCACTCACATAAGTACATATAGAAAATGGCAGAAGCACAATTGCTAGCTGAAGAACTACCCACGGAGGCGCCACTTACTACACGCAAGCGTCCACGTCTAGATGAGGAGCAGGAGCAGGAACTGAAAGTTGCTGGCTTTTCGCTCAGCGCCATCGAGGAAATGCGTCAGACACGTGACGCCGAGCTGCTCTCCGAGCCCATGGATCAGCAGCTGCGCCAGTTTCAGGTGCTTGACGAGGTGGGCACCGCCAGTGAGGATGATGATTCAGGTAAGCGATAAGAGCACACACACAGCAGAGATTTACTTTATGGAGTATACACATTCTTGTTGACTAGCCAACGACAGGCACATGGCCTTAGCCATAAAATTCAAAGAAACAGCTTCTACATGTCTTATCTGAAGATCTTACCAGAGCTTATCATTGTGTAAACATTACGCCAAGGAGGCTGATAAAACTACAGTGGAAATCTCATTTAACGGCCGGGAAAATATTTGGGCGTAGGTCGCCTTGAGCAGGGCAAAAAAATGGTCCCAATTTGTTTTCTTATTATTAGGCAAGCAACTCGCTTAGCACAACAAAGCGTAGTTTGTCAGCTCTAGAGAGTTTTCACTGTAGTTGCCAGCCAGATTCATTTCTATGGATGTTTGTATCTACCGAGCGCATTTGCTTCAATATTTTCAAGCTGCTCGCAGCTGCAGCTCAATGAGAAACTTGTCTGTAATACGTGATCCCTAAGCCGTAATCTCTGAGCTGCTCGCAAACATGCGCATGATACCCATTGTGCGCCTGGAGCTAAAAGAAAGGCTAACATTTCAATCAGGTTTACTTTTATATTCAATTGTATATACTTAGCTTATCTAAAACTATTTCCATACACACTTCGCAGATGACAACAGCGACAAGCAGAACGGGGAGAATTATGCCGACGATGAGGAGGGCGAAGGTGATGGCGGCGACTATGATTCTTCCGACTTTGATGATGAGGAAATTGAGAATCTTTTGGATGAAAAGCTTCCCGAAGATCTGCGCGAATCCAAGCGACCAAAATACGAACAGCGCTTCAAGACTGTGCTTGAAGGTATGTGTGAATTATACTGCACAGATTCAGACGTATTTTGATTAACTACTTTCCGCACATTTTAGAGAAGCGCCACAACCACTTCGAGGTGCTGCCGGAGGGCTGGGTGCAGGTGACGCACAATAGCGGTATGCCCCTCTTTCTGCATCGCAAGACGCGTGTCTGCTGTGCCGCACGTCCATATTTTCTTGGCACGGGCAGTGCACGCAAGCATGCGGTGCCACTGGGTGCCATACCCTGTCTGAACTATCGACGTGCACTGGACGAGGAAACGGAGGCAACGGAGCAACAGTTGCGCAATACGGACGACGCGCCGACTACAGATGGCAAAAATGAGGTGATGACTGCGGGCGTTTGCCCTGTAGCGCATGGCACAGCAAATGCAGCACAGCCCATGGATGTAGATGGCAAAGAGAACCAAGATTCGGCTAATGCGGAGCCCAAAACAGCCGAGCCAACCACTGAGGCATTGCAGTCACTAATACCAGCAGCTAAAATCGTAACCGTCAATGAGAATACACAAAAGGAGTCGGTGACGCCGGACCAGCTGAACACGTACTGCCAGAAGCTCTTCAGGTTCAAGGTAATACGCGTGCTGCGCTTTCGCAGCTGGAATGCACGGCGCAAGTTCACAAAAAATCGCAAGCATATCAAGAATATACAGCGACCAACGCTGCCCGACGGCACCAAGCTGATCAAGTTCCCCATTTTGGCGGCCAGCGGCACGGAAGGTGCTACAAATCCGCGTGGACGAAAAGAGTGGATCATGAATCCGAATGGGAAGAGTTTTGTGTGCATCTTGCATGAGTATGTGCAGCATGCGCTAAAGACGCAGCCCACCTATGAATTCAAGGAGCTCCAGAATGCAGCAACGCCCTATTCGGCAACCGTTTCGGTGAACAATCTCAAGTATGGTACAGGTTATGGCACCAGCAAAAAGCAGGCCAAGTCGGAGGCCGCACGCGAAACACTCGAGATACTCATTCCCGATGTGAAGGACAAAATAACGGGCAACAATAAGGATGTAAAGAGCGGCACAGCAAAGAAAACCCAAAGCGATCTATCTGTAAGTGTGCCTGGCATCTATATCAAAGCTCATATAACTAAATATTGCCTTATAGGTGTTCGATGACATCCGCATCGAGGATCCACGCGTCACCGAGTTCTGCAACAAGACCACAGAGCCCTCTCCCAATGCCATCTTGTTGACCTGCCTGCAGCGTAACTACGGCAGCGATGTGCAGATCACCCAGGAGATCAATCGTACGGCCAATAACAAAAACGAATTCACGATGACTGTGGGCAAGCACACGGCCAAGGTGGTCTGCAAGAACAAGCGCGAGGGCAAGCAATTGGCATCGCAGGCCATACTGCAGGTAAAAGCTAGCAGAGTGTGTTAGAAATGTGTCCCGCAATGTCTAAGAAGACATATCTGAGCTGATGCCCGATCTATATCTGCAGCCATGTCGATATAGGCATGCCATTCTGTCTGTTTCTACTTAAACTAGTCTCAGAGTCTTCATTAAACATGTGCTAGGCACTAAATTATGAAGCTGCTATAGGTAAATTTTGAAAAATTTTATCCCTATTTCATGGACTTTTGTATGGTAACCATTATTTTCATCAATACTTCCATATAATATTACAATCGGATAAATGTTCTTTCTTGTTTCTGATATTTTAATGATAAAATGGCAATAATAAAAATAATTATGCCGCTAACATTTTATAATCAACATTGTTCCAGTGTGTCGTAGTTCTCCAATCGGCATAATCGGCTGTAAATTTTTAGGATAATACCTTGTAGCAAGTATAGAAACATATCTGCTATATGTCTGCAATCGTATTTAAATTACGACACCAAGAAAAAACCTCTGCTTATCGCATAATTGTTCTGTATCATGTCTTTTAACTGTTTTCCACACTCTTCTGTAGATTTTGCATCCGCACATTCAAACTTGGGGCTCGCTGCTGCGTCTGTACGGCAACAATTCGATCAAAACGTTTAAAGAGAAGAAACTCGAGGAGCAGGAGATTACCGTGCTGCAGAGCAAGGCGGCTGTAAATCAACCAAACTATGCCATTCTCGAAAAACTCAAATCAGAGATGCTGAAGCTCAGCGCCAAGCACGAGGGTGTCCAAACCATGGGCACCTTTGTGCCGCCCAGTGATGTTGACTTGCCTACTTCCTCCGGTTCCAATTTAAACAACGTTGAATTATAGTCATAGAGCACATAATCATCATTGCCGTCATTAGGTTTTTGGTTATTCCACTTGCATGACAAACTTTTACTCAATGTGATCCATTAAAATATGACAAAGAGCAATGCGAAGAATGTATATAAAGCTTAACCACGAGCTACGCACACTCTTCAAAATACACTTACTTTATAACGGTCTTTACCAATTCAACACTATATTATATGCCAAAATGGAATTAATAATAAATATGTGCGTTCCCTATGCATCATTCTTCCAATATGTGCTTGAATTTATTAAAGTATAGTTCGTCCTCCATATTTTGTAAGTGTTTCTTTTTTGACTGCGTGAAATGAAGACGGAAACGGAATTGGGAACAGTTCTTTACAAATTTTCTATCCTCCTATCTTCTTTATATAAAAAATGATTTTATTGATTGCTATTTAGAAAATTTTTTGATATAAAAAAGAATGAAACACGATGAATAAAGATAGACGGAACAGAACTGATACAAAAAATGTTCGGTTTACATCGGTTTAAGAGTTGTCAGCTAATTATAAAAAATGAGAGAAAAATGCAAATAGAACCCTATTAAGCTTTGAAAAATACCATAAAATTATATTAAAAAGTATAAGAGATATACAATGTTATAAAACATGATATATGTTAACGGCATTATAAAGATGAGACTACGCTGTGCAGGTGAGTTGCCGAACAAATTCAAACACATTTTAAAAATAACAATTTTACCTTAGCTTGTATGTGTGTGTTAGTATATATATGTATGTGTGTATATTAATGTGTGCGTGCAATTATTTAAAAGACAATGTAGTCATAAATTATGCTACATTTTCATTTCATTCTAACGTTTCGTTTTTTATCGCATTCCTCGGACACACACACACACGCATACAAACTGCGGCGAGTATAGGCACGCGCAAGCCAAATTCGCCGCGCTGGGCAGCACTGTTCACTGCGCAACGAAAGAGCGCGCAGCATCAGCCACAAACGAAAGAAATTTACCGTTGCTCCTTTTGCCATCCATTGCCAGTTTCTTCAGTATTTGTTCGTTGCGCGTCGAGTGCTAAACTAGGCAGCTGACCGTGCCAGTGTGCAGTGCCGCCGCCAATTCCCGTATTAATTAAATCACATTTAATTGAAAACAACTCACACACATACACTGCGAATCGCATCAGGTGGAGAAAGACAACAATTGCGTCTAAATCCACACCCCCCCACCATCTTCGCCGCTCCTTTGCGTGAGTGTGTCTCAAGTGTTGCCAGATTTTAAGGGCAAGCGGCATAATAGCCACAATTACACGCGTTCGCTACAAATTTGCCAAACAAAAAGTGGGTCTTCCTTGGCCAGCATAAAAAATAAAATAAACGGGTATACATTTCGTTGCGGTTGCCGCTGCCCCTATGCCTCTATTGTGTTGCTCCATGTATCATCGTGTTCAACCACACACACGCGCATACACACGCTCGCACACACACAGCTATATATATAGAGGAGCATTGTGTTTATTCTAGAGTGGCCGTTGCGCCATTCAAAAACATGTAAATTATGTAAAAACGCGTTTGGAATTTTGTCAACGCAACGCACGCATCTAAATCAGCAGCATTAGCGGCAGCAACAACTACAACAACAAGGACAACTACAACAACAAGGACAACAGCGTATAAGGTAAGCGAAGCGCATCAGGCGCCAAGTGTCAGTCAAATGTTGGAAAATTCAATAATCCGCCACAGGGCGCCAATTCGTACCGCCCCTCCTCCCCCCAACACACACACACACACACACACACACACACCACACACACCACACACACACGCACACCCTTGCCAGCCAATAGCATATCAAATGTATTCGCTTTGCATTCGTTGTCGTCTGTTGCGTCGGCCAAAAACTAGGTTGACTTTGGTTTTGCCTTGTTGCCAATTCGCGCAATTTCAGTTTTCTGGTTTCGATTTCACTTCCAGTTAATCTTGTCTAAATTCATGTAAAACAATATGCCCTGTTGACACATTTTACCTCTTATGCGATTTATTTGTTTACTTTTATGGCGCCCGCTTTGTTAAAGCCAGGCCGATATCTCTGCATTTGGCCTGAAATCAATAAAAGCCCACAAATCTCATGGTAAATACTTAAGTTGCGCTCAAATTAAAAAATAAGCAAAAGTATTACATGGCTTCAGCCTTCTTCTCTTTTTGATATCCTTACTCTTAAAATCATCTTTATTCTTTTCAATTAACCAAAATTATTATTGAACCTTGACCAAAAAATGTTAAAGTTCTCATGTAGAATATTTCATAAATCATTTAGTTTCTTTTTTCAGCAAGTTTAGGCACAAAATATTTTTTAAATAAAGGCAATTTTACCATTGTAACGTTTTTGATACAAATCTTTGACCAAAATAGTTAAGGGATTTATGACAAGGAGGTTTTTCAAAAAATATCAAGATATTTAGTCTTTAAATATGAAGTAAATAAATGTAGATGACCAATTCATCGACAAGAAAACGCATAGTCAAAAAGCCTTTAAAAGGAAAGAAGTAGAAATTGAGAAAAAATGGGGAAATATTGAAGATTTTAAAATAGATGCAGCAAAAGCCTAGAGGTATTAAAAGTCATTTCTTACGCCAAAGATATGCGTTAATAATTTAATAAATAGTCCTTCAAAACGTGTATTAATAAATATAATCTACTATAAGATAAGCTAGCGGGGGGTTTTCTAAAATATGTAACTTTGATAGACCTACAATCATGTCCATGGTTCAGTTGGACTAGAACGATATACTATCTCTGTTTTAAAAATAGAAACCTATTCTAATTAAATAGAAATAAAGCTTAGGATTGATTACTGGAAGGCGCAGAGTTTGTTGTATCTGTTGTTGTATCAGTCTCTAGCTGTGGCTCTAAAGCAGCTTTGCTCGTATCGGAGATTTTCGGTTCCATTTGTGGTTCAGTGGAGACAGCAGGCTTTGGATTTGGTCTGCGTTTGGGCATAAGCATGGCCTCTAGCACACCGAAGGGTGCCTCCATAATGATATACATTACGTAGGACAGCAGCAAGATAAAGCCAAAGCCGCCCCAGAAAATCAGCATCTGCCGAAGGAATATATACAGAATGAGTATTATGCGGAAAACTCTTTTGTAAGCATATTTGCTCTCACCACATCGTAGTCGGAGAAATAGGTGCTCGTTCGCATGCGTCTTCCATTAATTTGCTGTATGAAAATGTGGAAGATGTAGGCAGTATAGGAGATCTTCGACAGCGGCTGCCACAGTGGAGAGGAGAGAAAGCTATTGGCCAAACCTCCATAGCCCCTCATGCAGGCAAAGACCACCCAGCACAGGCTCAGGGGCCAGGCGATGCGGGTCAGTGTATAGTAAAGGGCCTCTTCCAGCATAGTCAACACCGGATTCCTCCAATCGGCAAAGGGATACAGCACAAATAACGAGGTGAAAATCAAAGCCAAGCACACAACCCAGCCCAGCCAGATCTCAATGCGGCTCAACTTAAAGGTTCTGTTTCGATTTACGTGCAGGAAATAACCAAGGAGCACCCCGATTAGCCAAGGAGCTGCATGCGTGTGTGTGGCATAGTAAAGCTTGCGCTGAGCCTCATCTGGAGTGAGTCCGATTCTGTGCGGAAAGAAATAATAGGAATTTACATTTATACTTAGAGTATTCATTGTGGACTTACTCCAAAAATATAGGATATTTCTTGATCATCATCGTGCTGAAGAGGCAGGCGGAGAGCAGAAGCATGAAAACAAAGATTCCAGCTGCGGCTTTCTTGCCCCACTTATACAAAGCGAGCAGAAATATGGGTGAGAGTATGTAGAGCTGCATATCCACAGCCAAATACCAGCTGTGATTGATGCACTAACGAGCGGAAAAGAGGGGTTAAATAAATAAGCTTGGTAAGTTTCTATAGAAGTATAGCTTACCAGATCTGGCGTTGCATAGTTTTGCAAGTAGAGCAAAGTCCAGAACCAGGTGCTCTTACAATGGCTGTAATCATCGAATTTAATGCTGTCAAACAGGGGACCATCACCCAAAAGTGGCAGCAGTTTCATATACACGAGTATGGCCAGAGCCACAATGGGCGTGAGGCGCAAATAACGATGGAGATACATCAGTGGAATGTTTAATCTTCCCTTAGTTCTGCGAAACAAAGAGTAGTTGGAAACTATAGGATTTGTGTTCCACTTTAAACTCACTTTTCCAAGGAACGCATAGAAATCATGACCAGCAACAGGCCACTTAGGAAGAAGAATGTATCCACGGAGAATGTACCATGTAGGACAAGGCTTGTGTACGGATTTTCGAACCACTTAAAGAGAAAGCAAAAGTCCTTAATAGAAGCATATGTATTTACGCAATCCACAGCTGTTACCCATTACCCATTTCAGGCGAAATTGGTTGACATTCGGCGCTAGCAAGGCGAACAGGTATTGATGCCCAAAGATAACCCAGATGAGCGACATGCAACGCATGCCATGGAGACAGTCGATGACATTGGGATTCGAATTGGGTTCCACCAGGCGAAAGAGCGCGCGGGAATTGGCACGTGCCGAGAAGATCTTAATCAAGGCAGGTAGTTGCGCTGCGTGAGGTTGAGATAATTAAAAACAAATAAGTTTGCTATATTCGAGAAGGCCCGACTAGAGCATACCCTGTACCTAGCTCCATTCTTTAGTTTCTGATTTACTGTCCGACTGTAAAAACACTTTCACGGAGGCGTTTTAAAATTAAAATCTGGAGCTTATTATATCAATAAATAGCTTGTGTTCGAAGCGTATCGATTTTAAGAAATCGGCTGAGTTATCGATTATTTGAGAATAATGCTGAAGATGGACAGACAAGTAGGGCTAGATCGAATTAGACTTACTCTGTCTAAAATTCGTTACCCAACCGCAATGTGTACAGGGTATAAAAAGTATGGCCTATTTGTTTTCCACTTACTCTGATCCTCGCAATAGACATAATCATAGATAGTTGTCAAGACGACGCAGGCAAGCAGAAGCGAGACTAACACACTGTTAAATCAAAAATTTGAAATTGAAATTGCGACCGACTGATTTGCATACTTACATAGTAAATATGGTTAGACCGTCGTTGGGTTCACGATCCGATGTCCTGCAGCTATCCTCACTAACCAAGGGCTGCGTTGTTTTGATATTTAGAAGTTTTTGCAGCAGATGCTGCAGGAACGTATCCATATGCGTTGCGGCGCAGGAGGCGGGAAAACAAACGGCGGTTCTTATCCTAATGCCAAGTTGAGCTAAAGATAGGCCCGCAAAGCAGTACTTGCCCTTTATAGCATGGCTATCGCCCATGGCCTTGTTAATGCCAATGCACTCATCGTAATTGCCCATGTCCATTAGGTTTCCATAAATCACGCCCTTGGGGAAAGTGCCCCATGAATCGAACACTAGAATCTTAAGAGTTTAACTCAAGTACTTTTAAATGTGTATTCGACATACTCTTTATGGCCCAGAAACTGCCAGAGGTTAGTCCACCTAACAGCTCAATCATATCCGCCAGACACTGCAGATCCTGCTGGCCGGGCAGCCGTGTGCTCGGCAAATCCAGGTCTTCCTTTGCTATATTCCTAAAGTGTTGTGAGAACTCGACGGCAAGTGGACGTAATTCCACCATCCTTTGGTAATCCTCCATGTAGACCAAGTCAGCTGGCTTTCGCTGCAAGGAACTGACCAAAGCCAGCCCTAAGAGCAACAGCGCAACAATTATTTTTACCATGTCAATAGTATGGGGCCAATTCTCAAAAACGCACGCGTTATATACGCTCAGAAAAATCCTGATAAGCTTTTAGTTTCGCGCGAAAATAAAACTTTCGCTCAAATACGATTGATAAATTTGAAGTACTTCAGTTACGGGCTTATCGGCGCAGGGAACCCGTGCGAACCATGCAGATTATTATCAATTTGTTTTGGAGTGTTATTTTGATACTCTGTTTTGAAAATGCATAAAAAGGAAGCTTAAATAGCAAACGAGTCGATTTATCTAGTTCCGTCTGTCTGTCCTTCTCAGAGAGTAAACCGAGCTAGTTACAACATATTTTGTTTAAATATTTATTTCGATAACTCCCGCCAATTACCTTAAAAATCGATCTGCACTGATTTTCAATTCTAGTTTTCTGGGCATATTTCTACGATGATAAGAGTGAGAGTGAGGTTGGCAAGAATCTTCTCTTAAAGCTTAAGAAAATGTGATATAAGCTGGGAGCTGAGTAGCTCCTAGTCGGGTAGCCCCGACTAGAGCACACTTACTCGTTTTCATATCAATAAATAGGTAGTCTGTGAAATTTACAGCTAATCTAATCTGAAATAGACCGATTTTAATGAACACGACGTCACGACTTATCTGTGTCTTAAGTAGTATAAGCTTTGGCATATTGGCGAGCGCCTCGGTAGCTCAGTTATTTATATGGTTGAGTCATTAAGGGAGAGCGCAATGACCGACTTTTGGATTTTTATTTACTTAGCAATGTCATGTTAGTACATTAATAACACATTCGTTTTATAGTGTTGTATTAAAGATGATGATGACTGATATCAAAAATATGAAACATTATAATAACAAGTGGAATTGGTTATAAGCAAAAAATGTTGGATTTTTATTGTGCCCAGTTGTCACAGCATAACTCAATGTAATAGTCCACATTGTGCCCGACTTGCAAGGCTTATGGATCACATGGCCATCCTTCCTGCTTACCAATTTGGGTTCAGGGGAGGACAACCACATCATAGGCGACACCCCGGAGTCTCCCGACTACTCACGTGACGATGCACCCTTATTCAAAAAAGCCGCTTTTGACGTTTGTCCACGATAAAGCCTGAGGACCCAAACAGGCTTGGCGAAACATGACCTAAGCCAACTGTGTAGTAATACAAATGTATGCTATTTTGATCCAATACAATAAACATTTATAAAAAAAACATTGCAGTTACAGTTAAACAGTTGGGTTAATGGCTAACAACTGTATCATATTTGAGAGGCTTTTTATCTACCTAATATTTGCCTGTTATAAAGTTTGATCCCTGTAACGATACTAGCATCAATAGATGTTTAGCTTATCGATTATCTCTAACAGATTCATACGAATACTGACCATATACATCTTTTATATAAACAATATTAAATATAAAGAACATATATAAAATTGGTGTACGATAACACCAAAATTTCATTTAGTATAAATAGGATTAATTTGCCAGAAAATAATCATCATAAATCATAATAAATCAACATTGTTGTTATATCCTATAACCATTGAAAACCATTGTATGTAACAGGCAGACCCCAAAAGCATATATATTTTTGATCAGGACGACAAGCTAAGTCGATTTAGCCAAGTCCGTCTACCCATCGAACTAGGAAACTAGAAATCTTAGAGCCTTGAAATTTAAGTATATGTTATATTCTCCTTTACCTTACGAATTTATTATAATTTTTTGTCTATATCTCATTCCATTTGCAAATATTGACAAAAATCGATTTTGCTCGGAGCAGCGCACAGGGTATCTTCTAGTCGGGCACTACGAACTAGAGTACTCGACTTAATTCTTGAGCATGATTGTCACATTCACTTTCTGTTTCATGGACTAAAAGCGATTAGATTTAATTTAGGAATCGTGGAACTCTATAAATACCATTCTTTTGAACTGTATCTATGTAAAAATCAGTCTATGCTTGGAGCTTAGCACCTGTTTTTAATAGATTAGCTACTGACTGCGCAATTGGCTCATCTCTGGGGTTGCTGCTGTCTGCGGCTCTACGTTAAAAGTCTGTTATGTTAATCAATGGATCTGTAGTACCCTCTAAACTCACCTCATGACGAAAGGAACCAGAAGGTGTTCGCAGAAAAATAACCTTTAGATAATAACCTTAAAGTGATAAATCACAGAAAATAGTCTCAAATCAGGATTAATTGAGTTTTGTTTCAACAAAACAAACAAAATATAAAATGATGCTTCAGATTAGGGGGCTTCGGATGATATGGGTACTCGAACTGGGTTGCCGGACACGACTCTATAGCAGAATGGGTAGTTTTTCTAAAAAAGCAAAGGGCTTTTAGAAAAGACAATGAAATAAAGAAGGACAGCTGCGTCATTTCGGCCAGACCCTGCAGATCCTTCCTGTGTTTCAATGCTTCTGTACATGTCGTGTGCGATTTTATATTTTATGAACTTCTGTTAGATGCAGCCCTTATATATTCACCAAATATCAAACATATAGCGATATTTAGACAGAAAAGGTGATGCATCTGGGAGGTTAATAAAAGTTTTTTCATCTCTCATAGAAAAAAGGACTTAATATGAAAAGCTTCTTCTAACAAGATTATGTTGAATTGGGCTTTGATCTAACATTGGAAGGACAACATTTCCCAATCATTCAGTGACTATAACTCGGCTTACATAGAGGGCTTTTACAACTTTGTATTAGTTGAATAATCGGAATTGGTATTATCGAGTTACGTTTATGAGCATTGGCATCAGGTTCAGACATAATACTTTATTATTAAATTATATATGTGACAATCCTTAAACTAAGCTTACATAAGAGTTCAGCTAACAAGCTTAAGCCGCCGCTACGCTACTGGTTGACGCTTCCACATCTTGCTCCACTACTGTAACTAAATTTGTTTTTGGGGTTTCGATTGTAGGTTCAACTGTGGGCATAACAGGTGACTCAACGGGGGTATTAGCCTTTGGAGCGGCTCTACGATTGGGCATAAGCATGGTCTCCATAACGCCAAAAGGTCCCTCTACGATGATGTACATCACGTAGGCCAAAAGTAAGGTGAAGGCGAAGGTGCCCCAAAAGCTTAGCATCTGTAGGGGAAAGCAAAAACATATATTAATCACGATCCAGATAGTTATTCTTCTTCGTTTTGCTCCTCTTACCACATCGTAGTCGGAGAAATAAAGGCTTATCTGTATGCGTCCTACGTTGGTTTGTTGTATGACAATGTGAAAGATGTAGGCGCAGTAGGACAGTTTCGAGAGCGGCTGCCACAGTGGAGAAGAGAGGAAGCTATTGGCCAAACCACCATAGCCCCTCATCCAGGCAAACACCACCCAGCACAAACCAAGTGGCCAAGCGATGCGGGTTAGTGTATAGTAGGAGGCCGCCTCTAGCAAGGTCAGGTTTGGCGCACCCCATTGGGCAGACGCGTGGAGGGCGAATATAGAGGTGAATATCAATGCCAAGCTAATGAGCCAGCCTAACCAGATCATAAGACGATTCAGCTGAAAGGTCCTTTTACGATTCACATGGAAGAAATAGCCGAACAGAGCGCCGATCAGCCAAGGAGCTGCATGCGTGTGGGTGGCAAAGTAAAGTTTGCGTTGACCTTCGCCAGCGAGGATTCCTTGCCTGCATAGAGAGAGTAAAATAATTAGTAATATTAATATATAGATGCCTTTTTAAACCCAGTAACCTACTCCATATAAATGGGATACTTATTGGTCATCATCGTGCTGAAAAGGCAGGCGGAGAGCAGAAGCATGAAAACAAAGATTCCAGCTGCAGCTTTCTTGCCCCACTTATACAAAGCGAGCAGAAATATGGGTGAGAGTATGTAAAGCTGCATATCCACAGCCAAATACCAGGTGTGACTGATGCACTATAACCAAAGGAAAGAGTTAGCATTCGGCTAATCATTCGAATGGGATTCTTTTACCATCTCCGCAGTGGCATAGTTTTGCAGATAGAGTAAACTCCAGAACCAGGTGCGTTCGCAGCGGCTATAGTCATCAAAATGAATGCTGTCAAACATGGGACCATCTCCCAAATAAGGCAGAAGTTTCATATAGACAAGTATGGCCACAGCCACAATGGGAGTTAGTCGCAAATATCGATGGAGGTACATTAATGGAATGTTTAACCTCCCCTTGGTTCTGATAAAAAATAATTGGTTTGTCGTGATGGATTTACGGAGCGCTCTAAACCTACCTTTCCAGGGAACGCATGGAAATCAAGACCAACATCAAAATGAATGCTGTCAAACATGGGACCATCTCCCAAATAAGGCAGAAGTTTCATATAGACAAGTATGGCCACAGCCACAATGGGAGTTAGTCGCAAATATCGATGGAGGTACATTAATGGAATGTTTAACCTCCCCTTGGTTCTGATAAAAAATAATTGGTTTGTCGTGATGGATTTACGGAGCGCTCTAAACCTACCTTTCCAGGGAACGCATGGAAATCAAGACCAACAACAAGCCACTGAGAAATAAGAAGGTATCCACAGAGAATACAGCGTGACTTATAAAGTTGGTAAATTGCTTTTCTGCCCACTGTTATAGCAAAATGCGGTTTATATTGAGAACTAGTCATCACTGATAGCAATACCTATATAGTAGAAGTTCAGCATGTTCATAATCGGCGCTTGAATGACTAATACAAATTGGTGTCCAAAGACGACCCAAATGAGGGATAAGCAGCGCATGCCATGGAGACATATAATTTCAGTTATTAGTTTTTTAAGGACTCACTTTGGTCTTCAAGAAGAAAGTAATCGCAAATTATGGCCAGAACTGCGACAGCACCCAATACTGAGAGTAGTACACTGTAAGGATAATGAAATGAAGGAGGGAAGGTAGATTTTCAAATAAGTTTCACTTACATGGTAAATATGGTTAGACCATAGAAAGGTTCTCGATCGGAAGTCTTGCAGGCATCCTCGCTTACAAATTGGGTGTTGATATTAAGGCCAATTGCTTTTGTAGCAATTGTTTCAGAAATGTATTCATATTTGTAGCCGAGCAGGAGGCCGGTAGGCAAATACCCATTTCCAACCTTGTTGTAGGCTCGACTAAAGTTAGCTTTGCTCGGCAGTATTTTCCCTGGATATAATAGTTATCGGATATTGCTTTTTTAATCCCGATGCACTCATCGTAGTTGCCCATGTCAATCAAGTTTCCGTATAGTAAACCCTTGGGAAAGGATCCCCACGAATCGAACACTAAAAGCTTAAGAAGTCACCTAAAGATCTGCTACTATTAAAAACACGCTTAATTTTTATCGACCAAAGTTTGCCAGAGGTCAGGCTGAGTCAAATCCTTGTGCTCGGTAATTCCAAATCTTCCTGTGTTATATTCCGAAAGTGTTGTGAGAACTCCACGGAAAGCGTACGGAATTCCATAATCCGTTGGTAATCCTCCATGGAGACTAAGTCAGCTGGATCCCGTTGTAAGGAATTTACCAAAGTCAGCCCGAAGAGCAGCAGCATTCCAATGGTTATATCCATGTCGTGTGCGAATTTGTGTTTGACAAACTTTTGTTGGCTGTAGCCCTTATATATAAGCCTAATATCAAGCATTATATGGCGATAAGCAAGGCATATGGAGGTAGGAGTCCTTAACCAAGATATAGCTGAAGCACCCTAGCTGATACCTTATCAAGTCATGCTTTTCAATATTATTTAACAGGAACATAATATAATACTATTAACATCACGTGATTCATCATCTGACTTTTGGTAAAAACGCCAGGTTGTCGAGTTTGCTATACTAAGTATAGAATGTTTGAACCAACAGATCCATTGCTTGATTAGACAACAAACCTCAAAGTCCTGCAAGGGTATATTAAATTTAAATACACTTGCAATATTACTCTAATGTGCCTCATATTATCTCTCAAGAATTCCTAATCATTTAGCTATCATTGTTTGACTAACTACTAACGGCCTGTGCAACAACTGGGACAAAAACAATATCAATACTTCATCAGATAATGATTAACTTTTAGATTTTGTAGGCGGCTTATTAGTCATACTGGTTCCGAGGTATGGCACGCGTTGATAGCTTATTAATAAATTCATATTTACCAGATCTAAAATATAAACAGCTAGAGAAAACTACCCGGCGTCGCCCGGGTTAGATAAATACTGTTTAAAATGCAGATGGTACCGAAATTGGTTGTGCACTCAAATAGCCAATACGCGTCTATTCATTATTTGATTCCAAAATTTATATTATTGAATATATATAATATTTCATTAAGCTTAATGTAAATGAATTTCACGCGCAAAAGCGGAATATGGGTGAAAAGTTTGTGTGGCAAAATTGTTGTTTTTGTTCGTTCTACATCATCTCATTTAAAAATTTCCTTGTGATTTGTTTCATAGATATTTATAAATCCTATCGGTGGAAAATGCGTGAAAATGTTTAAGGTCTTAGCTAGCTAACAGCTATTTTTGTGAATTTTAAGGAATCATTGCCTGTTGAAAATCCCTTCAAAGACTTTGACCTATTGTTTTTCTCTCAGCTAAAGAGCTTCAAAAAATACTCTTCGCAACGTCGGCAAAGTTGAAGTAAGTCTAAAACCAATACCAAAAGACGCTTTCAAAAGCATTCAGTAAAATGTAAATACAAACGAAACTCTGCAAAGCACAAGACAAATTTTAAATAGGCTTTGCAAATCCCCAGTATACTAAGCCAACGAAAGAGGACCCCTTCGATTGCTGTGCCTGGTCGCAGGCGCAATATTATCGCAAGCCGCGAAAATCAATAAACATTAATCTTGACGTGATTTTGCCTTCATCCAGCGCCATTTGCGTATTTGCACACCGCTGCCGCTGCTGCCAACTCGATAAAAGATTGAAGTTTAATCGAAGCAGGCGAAGTGCTAGGCATGAGATGCCAATTATCAGTGTCAAGAGCCTGATGCCAGGTTGTCAATGGAAACTGTTGGGTAGTACAAAAACTCCCAGAAATTTCGACAGTTGAAAGATGAGGCATAACTAAGCTGGGAAGCAATTATCAACACTGTGGTCGTAAGCAAAGGATTTGCGAATTCCATCGAATTTCGTGTTGATTTAGAATGTTGGGATCTATTTCCAGCAAGGCTGTAAAGTGCTTTTCATCTGTTTGCCCACCTTAAACTTTAATTTTGTGAACTTAGGAGCAGCATTAAAAGGAATTTGAAAGGCGATATCCACTTCTAAGTTAAACAAAAATTTGAGTTGATTTAAATTTTGTATTGAATTATTTATTTGATTTGATTGAGCACACAATAACAAATTATAGTTCAAATTCCGTACTGTGGGAAACCATAAACACGAAATGAGCCTTAAGGCGAAATCGTATATTGGCACAATGAACGTCACCAAAGAAAATTTATTTTGGGTGGACCCAGGCTTTGAACTAGGTACATGAATGTGGAAAACCAAGTTCACGAATCGAACCTAAAGGGGTGGAACGTGTTCGATCCAGTTGATACGCTTGCAGCCGGGTTTGATCCACCAAGTTCGATTCGAATCGCAGCAGCTTTGGTCGTAGGCTTGCAGTCATGTCATGAGCTACAGACACCTATTAATTTGTTAACGCCATTTGATGAGAGGATTTCATTTCGGTTATCAAACGCTGTAAATCTTTAACATTTCATATTAACACATTGGATAACCATCTCAGGCTAATTTACCGCAAAACCTTGAGGAATGCTGTACGTGGGCAATTTGGCACGCCCGCCCCCGAAGCCCAAACGCACATTGTCGCTTTGTTGTGTCACCTTGAAAATTTCATAATTAAACTCACACACAAAGGACGCTTCGTTGGCTGTTGGCTAGATATTTACCTTAAAGAATTCTAATTAAATCATTGAAAAACTTTCCAGGACTTTGTGCTGATTCATGTGTCCTGGCAGCTGCTACTTTTCCAAGCTGTGCCAAAGTTTTTGCCTCGAGCCGCAGGGCCTAAGGAATTTGCTTGATTTGTATACCCTGTAATGTGTAAAAGCCTTGTACGCGCAGTTGCTTGACATTGACTTTACTTAAGCCTGCATGTTTTGCCTTAAGTGCACTATGAAACGAAACTTTAACAGCCGAGACTAAGCCCTAAACCGAAATATTTTTTAATATGTGAAAAGGCTAAGTTCAAACTTAAGCTAGAGCTTGTGAGTGTGCAAAGCGCAAGGTTCGCGTTCCTGGCAATTCTTTTTGGGCTGACAGCCATGAGGGTAACTGCTAGTTAGGCAGTTGAGTTATATATCTTGTTCTTTTTGTTTCTACTACGTTTTTCTTTGTTGAGAGAGAGAGAGTTGCTTTTGCGTCGACTAATTTGTGGTGTTTGCTTTGGACTTTCGGCTTTGGCCGACGCTCTTTTGGCTTATGCAAAGCCCTACATGTGCCGCAGCTCGAGACTGAGCCACTGGGTGGCCGCCAGTGCGTCGGACTTTGGCTAAAACGGATTGCGGGGCACTATGGGGACTGGGCGTATCAGTATTTCATGTCGCCATGCACACACACCCACCCGCACATACACACCCCGCACCCGCACACACACGTAGATACTATGCAAGATTCATAGACTCATAAATCTTTAAGTATTGAATACCATTTTTGCATATACTATATAAGTAAGAACTCACGCCGAAAACTTTATCCGGCTGGCATCCCTTTTTCTCTCGCCTCAAAATATTTGCCCAACTCGGCTTGAGGTGAAAGCAAACAACATGGCGCCGGAATACCAACACGAACGGCCTATGTACAACAACATTTTGCCCGGCCAGCCGGGCAACATTGGACGCCAATTTAGCGTAGGGTCCTCGCGCAGTGGCCGGCAGTAGGGTTGTCGCCATTGGCTATTGG